CTTCCTGTACACATCTCTGATATATTTTAGAGGACTATTGGCATTTTATAGCAAGGCTCGTAACAAGAAGATTGTTATCTTGTAACAGATTAACAAACCCTACAATGTTCAAGTTACTGAGGCTATAATCAATTAGATTACAGGTATTACAGTCATCAATAATATTGGTAAAATTAATAAAGATTTTCAATGAGTATCTACCTATAAAAAAACGATGACGAAGATCAACTTCAAAACCAAATAACCTAATTAGAAAAATAAAATATTCCCAAACGCAGAAAACTATAATATCTTGAATTTTCGTTCTCTCCTAAATTTTCCTGAATGAGTGCTCCTTATAATAATATTTTGACTTTTGTGGGCGCGTCGGAGTTACAAGCTGAAATTTTCACAGAATGAAGGTTTTATTATGTTAATTCAAAATCCCAAAGTAATACAAAATCAGAACGGGTAAAAGGGCGGTACATTTAAAAATTGAGATTATTGCATAAACGTATAAAATAATAATTTATGACTGTTGTCCTACACTTCGAAATGGTAGATTAATCGATAGAGCGGGTCAAAATTAGTGGAAAATAATCCTGACATCAATTCCAAATGGCCATTTTAAGCAGAAACAAAAATGAAAAATCCTATTTTTGGCTCTGGAAAATTCTCAAAATCTTGACATGGTCATGAACAATTGCCCATAACTTTGGTAAATTTTTAGAAAATTGAATTAAATTATGTACCATTGGAAAGAGCATTAAATTCCCTATAAACCTGTGCAAAATTAAATTTGATAGCTTAAATAGTTTTTAAGCAGTTTAGCCGCAAAGTTGACTTTTAGTTCAAATTTTGTCAAAAACTTCAAACTCAATTTACACAAAAACTATAAATTTGGAAATATTGTAAATTACAGGCCATTTAGAACTTGATAAAAGCTACAAATTCTGGAAATTTAAATGCAATTTGCTCAACCGTTAACGAGCAATTGACGTTTGAATTTTTTGAAATAAGAATTCAAAGGGGGTACCTTTATGAAAATCTCGATTTTTTTATTTTTCAGTTTTGCTCAATTTTGACTTCATTAATCGATAGAGCGGGTCAAAATTAGTGGAAAATAACCTTGAGATCAATTCTAAATGACCATTTTAAGCAGAAACACAAATAAAGATAAAATTTCTTTTTTGGCTCTGGAGAATAATTTCAAAATCTTGACATGGTCATGAACAATTGCTCATATCTTTGGTAAATTTTGAGCAACTTGAATTAATAAATCATTGGAAAGAGCATTAAATTCTCCACAAATCAGTGCAAAATTGAGTTTGATAGCTCAAATAGTTTTAGAGCAATTGAGCCTCAAAATTGACTTTTAGTCCAAAATTTTGTAAAAAACTTCAAATACAATTTTCTCAAAAACTATAAATTTGGGAATATTGTTAATTACAGGCCATCAAGAGCTTAATAAGAGCTACAAATTCTGAACATTTTAATGCAATTTGATCAACCGTTACCGAGCAATTGAGGTTTGATTATTTTGAAATAAGAATTCAAAGGGGGTACCTTTATGAAAATCTCGATTTTTTTATTTTTCAGTTTTGCTCAATTTTGACTTCATTGATCGATAGAGCGGGTGAAAATTAGTAGAAACCAACCTTGAGATCATTTCTGAATGGACATTTTAAGCAGAAACAAAAATAAAAAGAAAATCCTATTTTTGGCTCTGGAAAAGAATTTCAAAATCTTGACATGGTCATGAACAATTGCCCATATTTTTGGTAAATTTTAAGTAAATTAAATTGAATTATATACAATTGGAAAAGAGCATTTAATTTTCTATAAACCTGTGGAAAATTGGGTTTGATAGCTCAAATAGTTTTTGAGCAGTCGAGCCTCAAAGTTGACTTTTAGTCCAAATTTTGTCAAAAACTTCAAGCTCAGTTTGCACAAAAACTATAAATCTGAAAATATTGTAAATTACAGGCCATTTAGAGCTTGATAAAAGCTACAAATTTTTGAAATTTTAATGCACTATGCTCAACCGTTACCGAGCAATTGAGGTTTGAATATTTTGAAATAAGAATTCAAAGGGGGTACCCTTATGAAAATCTCGATTTTTTTATTTTTCAGTTTTGCTCAATTTTGACTTCATTAATCGATAGAGCGGGTCAAAATTAGTGGAAAATAACATTGAGATCAATTCTAAATGGCCATTTTAAGCAGAAACAAAAATAAAAATAAAATCTCTTTTTTGGCTCTGGAGAATAATTTCAAAATCTTGACATGGTCATGAACAATTGCCCATATCTTTGGTAAATTTTGAGCAAATTGAATTTAATTATATACCATTGGAAAGAGCATTAAATTCTCTATAAACCTGTGCAAAATTAAGTTTTTGAGCTATGTCAAAAATAAAAGAACAAAAAAACTACTTCTGTAACTAAGAAAATGCCACGATTTTTCCATTAGACATCTCCTGAGACATCCTCGGACATTTCTTTGACATCCCCTGATTATTCTGGAAATTCCCGTATATCTCCGGAAATCCTGTGATATCCCTGAATATCCTCTAGACATCCCGAAGATTGCACACCAGACATCCCAGCGGTTCACCCTTCGGCTTTATATTAATCTTAAAACACATTCAATTCAATATTGCTTGGGACACGTCAAACTCCTCACTTTAAATTCCTAATTTGTTTAGGCTTCAGCTCAAAATGTCTCTCTCAGTGGACATACCAAGAATCGATATCACTCCTGACGCTGAAGAGGATGACGATCACATCCCCTCAAACATTTCCGAAGCTCTTACAGATGTTGAAGATTTGTATGATGACCCTGCACCACCTCAAATCAAAAAGAAAAACAAACTCAAAATCAAACTTTCCGATAACGGAGGCGTCACTGATTTGGAAGATTTCGAGGCCTCGTCCGACGACGATGGCACTCAAATAATAAAACACCGATACCCAGTGGTAATGAGCGATTTGGACATCGAAGCCCCACTAACTGAGGAAAGCTACAGAAAGCAAACCAGCAAAGGTAAACGAAGGATGAAAACCGAATTTGCAACCAAACAAAAAAGCTTTTACCAATCCGAAGAGGAATCCCACGATGAAGGTGTCGTGACTGATAGCGAGGCTTACGAAACCGAAAACGAACCTTACGAAAACATACCAGAAACTGAATACAATTTAAACTTGTATAGGACAACTGAGAATTTAGTTGCTGATAATATGGCTAACAATAAACCAGCTATTAACAATCATTTGGTAGTTTTCAGCAATCAAGATGGTTCGACTGATGTTGAAGTTCTACGATCCGATTCGGACAGTGATAATGCTGAAATGAAAAAAGGCAAAACCAAAAGGAGGCGTCATCGAGGCCAAAGAAAACCTTCCGCAACCGATTTGGAAGAAGTTTATTTCTCGGATGAGACTTTGGCACCCAAAGCTTCCAGAAAATTTAAACGCAAGCAAAAGCTAACCAAATGTAATACCTTGCCGTTGGATTCCGAAAATGAAGAAGGCGAAAAGTTACCTTTTCCTTTGTGCAAGCGAGTGGCTAAAAAAAACATGCCTTCGCTTATAATTCCTGATGATTTTGATTTGAATTTTCAAACGGATGTGGAAGATATTGAAGCAGACCAGGATTTAGATGTTCCAGGTTTGATTATAGACGAAGAAGCTTTGGATGAGCAACTAAAACAAATTGCTTCTGGTTATGGAGTGGTCAAGGAAGAACATTGTAATCTAAAAAAAGAGACACCATATAGAAAACCTATTATTGGGGTTGATGCCATTGATATCTTTACCGAAAACTGTGACACTGATGATGAAGAATTTCAATCAGAATTGGCTAGTGGCAATAATAATGTCACTACAAACGCCGATAATGATGATTATGAATCGGAAGACGTTGATGATGTTAAGTTATTTTTGAGAGACGACCACGCAGATTACAAAATCAAATTCAGTCCTTCATTGCAAAGTTTGAAATTAAACGCTTCGAGAAGCCTAAATAATTTAGCTTTGCCTTTGAACAATGAAGATCCTTTAACTGATTGTGAAGATGTTGATGAGCCCTATTGTAAAATACCTGTGGCTTTTGTAAAACAATCGGAAACCGATGAAGAAGAGTTTGTTATTGATGAAGATGTTAAATTTGTGCCATTTAAAGACATTCAATTGCCTCCACCTACAAGGAATTTAGTGTTGGTGCAAGAAAACGATGCCCTTGTCCCAACAGTGCGCATTTTGCCTCTGGATAGTTTGGATTACAATAACGCAGATGATAATTTAGACTTTGGCGAGCAAACTGATGAAGAATCAGTTTCTGAAGCTTTCGATGCTTTAGATGTTGAGCAACCACTAAGAGGTCCTACACCGGATTTGCCTTATTTAGATGGCGATCTGATTAATGTATTGGAAAGTGTTGATAAGTGCAAGAGTCCTATGCCAATTGAGTCAATCACTGACACTGAGGAGGTCGATTTGGAGCCTATAAGACGCAAGAGGGCTCCTAAGTTTAAGTTCATGTACGAAAAAAGCTTGAGTGCTAAAAATAAACTTGAAAGTGATTTGGAAATCAGGCCTCTATCACCGCAACCTTTGATTGACAGTGTGGTGCCAAAAGAAAGCTCTGGCCCATTTTCAATTATCGATAAGTTGGAGCTTAACAAGTTCAGCCTTACACCTGTGACAACTGACAGTGAAGACATGATGGCTTCAGCAGAAGAAGATTTGGATAAGGAAGTTATGTATTTGAAAGGGGGTGGTTACAATAATGCTGATTATGATGTTGAGTGTTTGGAAATTGATTTTAAAAGAATTACTTTCGGATACAAAGGTAATTAAAATTAGGTTGCATTGAATCTTGATTAGCCAGCTAAAACGTGAGTAAAAGCTTTCGGTAATAAGCCTGTTTATTGTATGATATATATGTTTTAGCTTTTAGTGCTATTTTGTATGTTTCAAAATTTTAAAATCTTGATTAATTGGAGAATTATTGTTTTCTAGAATGGGACGATTCCAGAAAGCCAAAACATGTCGCCGACCAGGCAACATTAGACGCAGCACAGCAAGGTAAGATTCGATGAGTACTTACTTGTATACATTATAAACATTTTTATTGAAATATTTATCAAAGGTAATCTGTTAGGGGCACCATCATTCATCATTTTTTTTTTTTTTTTTTTGTTGTTTTTTGTTTTATATTTTGGTGAAAATATAAAGCCAGAGAATGCTTCAAGTGCGTAAAAATACACTCAACATTTTATGTTAAACTGTAGCCTTATAATGTGCTTGCGCACCAAACAAAACGATTTTTTGGTTTATTTCAAAATTTGAAAACAGACACCACTAGGCGAAATAAATTATTACAGAGCATGGAGCATGAAGCAAGGATTTTTTTTGTATTTGCACAATACATTTTTTGTTCGTTTACAGGGTGACTCTAACCTATTTATTTTTCTATTGAAAAGGTACATTGAAGGTGAGTCCAAAGGACACTATTTTTTTCTTATTATTATTAGCCAGTTAGCAATTGGGTTTATCAAATATGTTGTATACAGATTGTTCTAAGTAGTATGGTGATCTTGGTAATTATAAGAGATACAGGGTGAGTTAGTTTGGGTTAGTCAATCAAAAAAGTATCTTAATTTATATATGGAGATTGGAAATACTCATCTTTGTAAAACTTATTATTTTCTTCAAAAATTTATCTTTGTCAAACTCATTAGAGAAAAAAAAATCAAAAAGAAAATTTCATTTTTTGATTCTGAAGTTTTCTCGAATCATGACAAAGTTAGGAAAAATTGCCAATATTTCCATTAAAATTCAAAAAAACCTAAATAAATTAAATACACTATCAGAAAGAGCAAAAAATTCTCTATAAATCTGTGCGAAATTGAGTTTGACAGTTCAAATATTTATTGAGCAATTGAGCTGAATTTTAGTCAAAAACTTCAAACTGTAACAAAATTCCCTAATCCCCACGCCACTGATCAGTTGGTCCCCTGTATGATGTCAACCTGCTACACGGCCTGTCAACTACGAGATGTCAACGCTCATAGTGAATAACGCAAATTTCATTTCGTTTTCTTTGTTAATACAAGACCAATATACAGTAATCAGTTTTCTCTATCGGTTCTCGTTTAATTCCCTAAGAATTATCTTACAAATTGGCGCCCAACGTGGGGCCACAGTGAGTTTCAAGACTGGTAGAGTGATTATTGTGTACCAATCGCGATTGTCGTGTAGTTTCTCGACGAAACACATGGTATTTTTCGCGCTCGTTTGGTACGGAAATCATCACCGAGAAATAGCCAAATTGTAAACAACTGTGGCGCCTTAGGCACTGCGTGAGTTATCACCGGTTTTGTGTACTTTTTGTGTGAATTATCAACGAAACTTTGTCGAAATCGTTACGAATATAAGCTGTTTTGTACATCGTTTTAATACAAGACCAATATACAGTAATCAGTTTTCTCTATCGGTTCTCGTTTAATTATTTCCGTGTACTCAACTTTCCTAAGAATTATCTTACAAAACTCAATTTTCTCAAAAACTATAAACCTGAAAATATTTTCCAATACAGGTTTTTTGGAGCTTTATAGGAGCTACAATTACAAAAAAAAAAAATTCAATAATATCTGTCACGGACTTCAAAATATTGAAACTTAAAGATTTTCAAATAAAAATCGGAAAGGGATACCTACTCTTTGAAAAAAATATTAATTTTAATTTTTTATACAGGGTGTCCCCATAATAAATTAGGCAAAAATGAATATATTGACAAGCATCTATTTTGGAATTTTTATCTCAAAAACTATCGAGGGTGCAGAGATGAAACTTTGAAACTCTATTCTTGAAGGTTTAGGGTAAAACATACTAAAAATTCAGGCTGATCAACCCATTAATAATAAAGTTACGAATTTCCTAAATTAGGCAGAAATTAATACATTGATAAGCACCTATTTTGGAATTTTTACCCCAAAAACTATCAAGGGCGCAGAGATGAAACTTTAAGGCTCTATTCTTGAAGGTTTGAGGTAAAACATACTAAAAATTCAGGCTGATCAACCCATTAATAATAAAGTTACGAATTTCCTAAATTAGGCAAAAATGAATACATTGACAAGCCTCTATTTTGGAATTTTTACCCCAAAAACTATCAGGGGCGCAGAGATGAAACTTTGAGGCTCTATTCTTGAAGGTTCGAGGTAAAACATACTAAAAATTCAAACTGATCAATCCACTATTAATAAAGTTACGAATTTTCTAAATTAGGTAAAAATAAATACATTGACAAGCCTCTATTTTAAAATTTTTATCTCAAAAACTATCGAGAGTAGAGAGATGAAACTTTGAAGCTCTATTCTTGGAAGTTTGAGATAAAACAGACTAAAAATTCAGGCTGATCAACCCACTAATAATGATGTTACGAATTTTCTAAATTAAGCAAAATTGAATACAATGACAAGCCTCTATTTAGGAATTTTAACCTCAAAAACTATCAAGGGCGCAGAGATGAAACTTTGAGGCTCTATTTTTCAAGGTTCGGGGTAAAACATACTAAAAATTCAGGGTGATAAACCCACAAATAATAAAGTAACGAATTTTCTAAATTAGGCAAAAATGAATACATTGACAAGCATCTATTTTGGAATTTTTATCTCAAAAACTATCGAGGGTGCAGAGATGAAACTTTGAAACTCTATTCTTGAATGTTTAGGGTAAAACATACTGAAAATTCAGGCTGATCAACCCACTAATAATAAAGTTACGAATTTTCTAAAGTAGGCAAAAATAAATACATTGACAAGCCTCTATTTTGGAATTTTTACACCAAAAACTATCAAGGGCGCAGAGATGAAACTTTGAGGCTTTATTCTTGAAGGTTTGAGGTAAAACATACTAAAAATTCAGGCTGATCAACCCATTAATAATAAAGTTACGAATTTCCTAAATTAGGCAAAAATGAATACATTGACAAGCCTCTATTTTGGAATTTTTACCCCAAAAACTATCAGGGGCGCAGAGATGAAACTTTGAGGCTCTATTCTTGAAGGTTCGAGGTAAAACATACTAAAAATTCAAACTGATCAACCCACTAATAATAAGTTTAAGAATTTTCTAAATTAGGTAAAAATAAATACATTGACAAGCCTCTATTTTAAAATTTTTATCTCAAAAACTATCGAGGGTAGAGAGATGAAACTTTGAAGCTTTATTCTTGGAAGTTTGAGATAAAACATACTAAAAATTCAGGCTGATCAACCCACTAATAATGAAGTTACGAATTTTCTAAATTAAGCAAAATTGAATACATTGACAAGCCTCTATTTAGGAATTTTTACCTCAAAAACTATCAAGGGCGCAGAGATGAAACTTTGAGGCTCTATTCTTCAAGGTTTGAGGTAAAACATACTAAAAATTCAGGGTGATCAACCCACAAATAATAAAGTAACGAATTTTCTAAATTAGGCAAAAATGAATACATTGACAAGCCTCTATTTTGGAATTTTCACCTCAAAAACTATAGAGGGTGCAGAGATGAAACTTTGAAGCTCTATTCTTCAAGGTTTAAGGTAAAACATACTGAAAATTCAGGCTAATCAACCCACTAATAATAAAGTTACGAGTTTTCTAAATTAGGCAAAAATGAATACATTGACAAGCCTCTATTTTGGAATTCTTACCTCAAAAACTATCAAGGGCGCAGAGATAAAACTTTGAGGGTCTATTCTTGGAGATTCGAGGTAAAACATACTAAAAATTCAGGCTGATCAACCCACTAATAATAAAGTAACGAATTTTCTAAATTAGGCAAAAATGAATACATTAACAAGCCTCTATTTTGGAATTTTCACCTCAAAAACTATCAAGGGCATATAAATGAAAATTTTAGGCTCTATTCTTGAAGGTTTCAGGTAAAACATACGAAAAATTCAAACTGATCAACCCACTAATAATAAATTTACGAATTTTCTAAATTAGGCAAAAATGAATACATTGACAAGCCTCTATTTTGGAATTTTTACCTCAAAAACTATCAAGGTTGCAGAGATGAAACTTTGAAGCTCTATTCTTGGAAGTTTGATGTAAAACATATTAAAAATTCAGGCTGATCAATCCACTAATAATAAAGTTACGAATCTTCTAAATTAGGCAAAACTGAATACATTGACAAGCTTCTATTTTGGAATTTTTACCTCAAAAACTATCAAGGGCGCAGAGATGGAACTTTCAGGCTCTATTCTTCAAGGTTCGAGGTAAAACATACTAAAAATTCAGGGTGATCAACCCACAAATAATAAAGTAACGAATTTTCTAAATTAGGCAAAAATGGATACATCGACAAGCCTCTATTTTGGAATTTTCACCTCAAAAACTATAGAGGGTGCAGAGATGAAACTTTAAAGCTCTATTCTTCAAGGTTTAAGGTAAAACATACTAGAAAGTCAGGCTAATCAACCCACTAATAATAAAGTTACGAGTTTTCTCAATTAGGCAAAAATGAATACATTGACAAGCCTCTATTTTGGAATTCTTACCTCAAAAACTATCAAGGGCGTAGAGATAAAACTTTGAGGGTCTATTCTTGGAGATTCGAGGTAAAACATACTAAAAATTCAGGCTGATCAACCCACTAATAATAAAGTAACGAATTTTCTAAATTAGGCAAAAATGAATACATTAACAAGCCTCTATTTTGGAATTTTCACCTCAAAAACTATCAAGGGCATATAAATGAAAATTTTAGGCTCTATTCTTGAAGGTTTCAGGTAAAACATACGAAAAATTCAAACTGATCAACCCACTAATAATAAATTTACGAATTTTCTAAATTAGGCAAAAATGAATACATTGACAAGCCTCTATTTTGGAATTTTTACCTCAAAAACTATCAAGGTTGCAGAGATGAAACTTTGAAGCTCTATTCTTGGAAGTTTGATGTAAAACATATTAAAAATTCAGGCTGATCAATCCACTAATAATAAAGTTACGAATCTTCTAAATTAGGCAAAACTGAATACATTGACAAGCTTCTATTTTGGAATTTTTACCTCAAAAACTATCAAGGGCGCAGAGATGGAACTTTCAGGCTCTATTCTTCAAGGTTCGAGGTAAAACATACTAAAAATTCAGGGTGATCAACCCACAAATAATAAAGTAACGAATTTTCTAAATTAGGCAAAAATGGATACATCGACAAGCCTCTATTTTGGAATTTTCACCTCAAAAACTATAGAGGGTGCAGAGATGAAACTTTAAAGCTCTATTCTTCAAGGTTTAAGGTAAAACATACTAGAAAGTCAGGCTAATCAACCCACTAATAATAAAGTTACGAGTTTTCTCAATTAGGCAAAAATGAATACATTGACAAGCCTCTATTTTGGAATTCTTACCTCAAAAACTATCAAGGGCGTAGAGATAAAACTTTGAGGGTCTATTCTTGGAGATTCGAGGTAAAACATACTAAAAATTCAGGCTGATCAACCCACTAATAATAAAGTAACGAATTTTCTAAATTAGGCAAAAATGAATACATTGACAAGCCTCTATTTTGGAATTCTTACCTCAAAAACTATCAAGGGCGTAGAGATAAAACTTTGAGGCTCTATTCTTGGAGATTCGAGGTAAAACATACTAAAAATTCAGGCTGATCAATCCACTAATAATAAAGTTACGAATCTTCTAAATTAGGCAAAACTGAATACATTGACAAGCTTCTATTTTGGAATTTTTACCTCAAAAACTATCAAGGGCGCAGAGATGGAACTTTCAGGCTCTATTCTTGAAGGTTTGAGGTAAAACATACTAAAAATTCAAACTGATCAACCCACTAGTAATAAAGTTACGAATTTTATAAATTAGGCATAAATTAATACATTGACAAGCCGTTATTTTGGAATTTTTACCTCAAAAACGATCAAGGGCGCAGAGATGAAACTTTGAGGCTCTATTTTTCAAGGTTTGAGGTAAAACATACTAAAAATTCAAACTGATCAACCCACTAATAATAAAGTTACGAATTTTCTAAATTAGGCAAAAATGAATACATTGTTCAACTGGTCAAAAATGCTAAGGTATATAGAGGAACCATAGAGAAAGAAGTAGTTTGAAATAGGACACCGATAATCGGAATTGTGTCGTTTCCAAAATACAGGGTGTTGAAATTCAAACAACCCCATCATCTGAAGGGCTAACGCTAGGCTGTTCAAATTTTCAGAGATTATTGATGTAGGAATGATATTTGAAAATTCGTATTATGCAAACCCATTTTCTACCTACCTACCAAAAAATTTGGAACATATTGCTTTTTTTTATTGGGGTGGTTCCTAGATCAATAATTTCTGAAGATTTGAACAGCCTAGCATTAGCTCTTTAGATGATATGGGAATGGCTTATTTAAATTCCAACACCCTGTATTTTGGAAACGACGCACTTCCGACCATTGGTGTCCTATCTCAAACTACTTCTCTATGGTTCCTCTATATATCCTAGCATTTTTGACCAGTTGAACGGGGACACCCTGTATCTTCCAAAATTTGATTTTTCCAAACGGAAGAGTGGGTCTAAATTAGTCGAAAAAAACCCTAACATCATTTCCAAATAAACAATTTAAAGAGAAAAAAATTAAAAAAAATCTAATTTTTAAAATTTAGTCAAAAACTTCAAACTCAATTTTCTCAAAAAATATTCACCTAATACAGGTTTTTTAGAGCTTAATAGGAGCTACAATTCTTGAAAATTTTGAAGAGTCCACTGGGGGTAGGTTAATAAAAGGTAGCCAAAAGACGAAATATCGGATTTCAAATTTTATAATGCTATATTGTAGAGGAGAAAAAGTGTTGTTCCAAATATATCCGGAAGTATTCAGAATTTTCCAAATTTCGAAACGGTATTTCAGTGAGCGAGAAACTGGGTAACTTTGCCCTAATTTAACCGACCCTGTATCCCGTATAGCTACCGAGATCCTTATACTTACTCACGAATTTGTAACACCCTGTATAGTAAATGTTTGAATTTCAATGAAGAAGAGATTGATCAGAGCAGGTAATTGTAATATTAATTGCCTCAGAATTAAGAGCGAGTAGCTAAGAATAATGATAACATCATCTGAAATGAACATCCTGTATACCAGTGTCTTCTGAAACACTGTATATTTTTTGATATTCATTTATCGCTAGATTCCAAATAATGAAGCTTGTATAAATTCCATTTCCAAAGTAGATGAATAAGCTACTTAGATTAAACTTCCTAATATTACATGGTACACCCTGTAAGTTACTGGAAGATTCTAAAAGTTACACAAACACGGACGTATAAGTTATATAATTTCTGCTTGGCTTCGCAATTATTCCAAAATAAAAATTGGCACATTTAAACAAAAAACAAGTCATCATTCATTACATCATTTGAATATTATTGTCGAAAATATTCTTACTTCAGCTTTGGTTAATGCACGTTTTTTCCAGCAGAATCCAGCTCCAATCGCAATAGTAACCATTTCCTTCACAAAACCACTTCGTACACTCAAATCGATCAAATTTTAGACAAAATGCTTCGCGAAGTCGATCAGGAATTGGATGTTTTAGAACCTCCTTGTATTAATACTCTGGAACTGGTACCAAGCTCTGACGCTCTAATAGAAGTACCTATCAAAAAATCCATTAGAGTACCTAAAGTATACGAAACTACCCAAACCATTAATATTGTAGACGATAATCCATACGAGCTGGTTGCTTTTGGCGATAGCAAACTGGAAGTTCAACCAGAAGAGCACGAATACGATTTGATAAAATTCAATGAAGATATTGAAATCGCAAATGAAGTGATGTCAGTGCCAGTTGAAAACGATGAAGCTAGATTTCTTTTAGAAGATATTGACGATAGCTTTTTTATCAGTAATTATACTTTGGAATTTAATAAAGCCTCTGAGGAATCATTAAATGATTATGAGCCAATAGAAACTGAAGATTCTAGTGGAATTTGGTGGGAAGGTACTTATAGAAATTTAAGCATTGTGCCTGAAGAAGATGAAGAAAATGTAAGCTTGGTACGTTTATTAGACGAAGAGGTTCCTTTTGATGAAAGCAGTTCCTCAATATCAACCAGCCCCGATGAAGGCACTTACGATTTGGTATCTGAAAAAGTAATCAAAGCTGAAGTCAAGCTTATGGTAAAAACTGTTGACAATGGTAAAGAGAATATTGAAATACATTCTGTGAGAGAATTTATGGATGAAAAACCATCCAAACAACCAAAAGATGTTTTAACAAAGCAAAAAAGCCTTACCCTTCCTTCAAGGATTGGAGAAAAATTCTCCAACATTGGCAATAAAGTTTCCAGTTTTCTTGATTTAAATAAAAAAATGTCTTCGTCGCATAATACGGTTTTAGTAGAACAAGCCTTAGACAAAGAAGATCAAACCTCGAAACCAACATTTACTTTACCGCGAGTATTCGTTAAAACCCAAACTAAATCCGAATTAATTGCAACAACCAAAGAAAAATTCCCTTTGGAAAATGACTATGATGAGAGCAAAATTAATTTGTACGCCAATCCGCCTTTTTATCCAGTTTACGAACGTTTTTCAAAATCACCTTCCCCGCTCACTATCCGTCCTTCTCCGGCCTATTGCGATTGGTTATCAGAAGACTTGGTTAGAAAAGGTAAAGTGAATCGTGTTAAAACCTATTTGCATGGGTTTGAACTCGGTTGAGTGATTGATTGATTTTGTTTAAATAACTAACCATGGTGCATTAACCAAGATTGAACACGCTGCAGTAAGAATATTTTTTTTTCCTTGTTAGTTTTCTTTGGTATTTGTAGTTAGAATGGCTTGTTCGAATTTGCATGTTCTTGCAGGAAAGCCGAGATCGACCGAACAATATTTAGCTAGTAACGAGGATTTGTCGTTAATAGACGTTAACGGTGGTTTAAATTCGCATCGCAAGCCGATTTATGTTCAAACTGACGCGTTTATAATGTCTGAGTCACGCGCCGAACCCTACAACGCAGCTACAGAACGACATTACGTCATAAAACAAGAACCTGTACAACTTGAAGACAAAAAAGCTAATAAACGTGGTTTCTTTGGAACGCTTAAAGGTTTTGTTAGTCGTTCTTCAGATTTTTCCGATTCCGATTCAGAAAAAACGCTCAAAAAAGAAAAGAAGAAGAAGAAAAAGAAGAGCCAGAGTTTGGAAGAAACTAGTTTGCCTCCTGTACGACCTCCGAGAAAACCTAAAATGCCTACACCGATACAAGACAGGAAATATCGCGATATTCCTTACATGGAAGCTGATGGTGACGAACCTCCAGAAGACATTGACAATACCATAAATCTTCAATTGTCCCAATTGCCCAAAGTACCATCGACACCAGTTATAGTTGAACGCGCAAAATCACCAAAACCCAAAAAAATCAAAACTATAATTCTAAACGAAACTGTTACAAAAACTTTTGCTCCAGCGGCAGTCGAAGAAGAAGAATTCACCATTGTTATTGATCCTACTAAAAAAGAATCTCCTAAAAAATCCAAAGAAATATTCACTTTGAACATCGATCAAAGCATGGATGAAATTGAAAAAGAGCTTCTGGAAAAATCTCCTATAATACCTGAAGAATCGATTGTGAAACCTCAAATTCACGAAAGACCTGCAACAAGTAAAGATCATTATTATGAAGATATTGATGATCCTGTTTTGTCTCAACCACCAGATCATTTGGTGAACATTCCACAATCTATTGAAACACCTGATGTTAAAAAGGTCACTGTGGATTTAATCAATAGTGAGCAAATTATTGACGCTGAAAAATCGAAAAGGAAACACAAACGTAAGATATTTGGTAAACTGTCAAAGTCTGAAGAATCTGAGGAAGATAAAAAAGAAGTTATTGAAAAGCAAGATCGAGAAGATTCAAAGGAAAGAAGCCTAGAACCTGAGGAGCAAAGCAAAAAAGGATTCCTTGGAATGTTTGGCAAGAAATCCAAAAAGGCACCACTATCAGAAGAAACTATTGCAAACATGCAATCCTCTAACGACTTTTTAAAACAAGAAGTCACTAAATACGAAGACGCAATTTCGCCATCCAGAAAATATAGCTCTATGGAACAATTCACACCAGCATCACCAGAAAAACCTTCAAGAAGATCCAAAACCAAAGCGAGTCGGTCCAAAAGCAAGGATCGTTCGAAGAGCAAGGATCGCTCCAAGAGCCGCGAAAGATCCAAGAGCAGAGACCGTTTGTTCGGGTTATTCAAAAAGGGCAAAAAGGATGACCAAGTCGAGTTATCCGACGAAACTTTGGCTAACATGCAATCTAGTGAACACTTCTTGAATTACGAAGTCAATAAGTATCACGACACTGTGGATGGCCCAAAAGATAAACCAACTAAAGTTTCACCAACTGAAAAAGCTTCAACACCAACTAAGGATAAACCAACAGCTAAAGTTCCATCAACTGATAAAGTTTCAACACCAACTAAGGATAAATCAACCAAAGTTCCACCAACTAAACCAACATTTGAAGCAAAAACTAAAGTTCCACCAACTGATACAGCTGAAGTGCGAGAAACCATTTTATCAGAAGACCTTAAAGGACGTAAAATAACAACAGTAACCCAAGAACCCACCGATCACGGAGACAAAATAGTGTCAGTGAAAAAGGAAATGTACATAATCGATCCTAAAAAGATGGACCAAATGCAAGATCTAGACGAGGACATGAAAAATAAAATAAGAGAAGCCCAAAAAGACGCCGCCAGTGCTGACAGAGACAAATCACAACCGTTTGTTAGGGAAACATTCTCAATTCAAACAAAAATCATCGATAGAGTCATACCTGTGAGTAGCGAAAAGGAAACTGTAACCGAAACTGAAGTTACCTACGAAAATATTCCATCCACTGTAGTAATAGATACCTATGTAGCAGCTGGAAAAACTCCAGTTGATCATGATCGTCGAGAAAGCATTAGAAACATCATTAACTCACAAGCGTTTTTGTTGCAAGAAAAAGAAAAATATCACGATGTAAGGCCTTTGAAAGAATTGGCTGCAAAAGAAGTAGTTGCTGTGCAGCCAACTTTATCTGACGAAGTCTTATTCAACATGAATCACAGCCATGATTTTCTTAAAGATGAAGTGATTCATTACCATGACGTGCGACCAATTCTCAAAGAACGTTCCACGTCTCCTGAAGGCAAAAAAGAAGCGAAAGGTCTTTTTGGTATTTTTAAATCGCCCGAAAAGAAGAGAGGCATTGAGAAACAAGTTGTTGAAGAAAAAGAAGCTAAAGGCTTGTTTGGTATGTTTAAAGAGAAAGACAAGAAGGGTAAAAAGAAGAAAGAGGCTAGTGTAGAGGAAGTTGTAGCTGTGGAGGAAACTACAAAATCGTCACCAGAAAAAAAAGAAAAAAAGAAAAAGCCAATTAAGGTAGAGGAATTGTCACAGGTTGTTCTATCAAATCAAGTAGTAGCTCAAATGAAACAATCAGACGATTTCTTGAAGCAAGAAGTTGATATTTACCATGACGTACGCCCCGTTGTTCAACCTGTTGAGCCAAAAAAGCCATCAGTTATTAAGGAAATAATTGTTATTGAAGAGCCTCATGTAGCAGCAACTCCCATCGATAAAAAAGATACTGATAAAAAAGTTGAACGTTCAAAAGAAGTTGAACCAGTTGATGAAGAACCCAAGGAATCTAAAAGTTTATTTGGTATCTTCAAATCTCCTGAAAGAAAGAAACGCGAGAAAAGTATTGAGAAAGAGGAAGTCGTCCAAGAAAAAGAAGCTAAAGGTTTGTTTGGTTTGTTCAAAGCGTCTCCTGAGAAAGACAAGAAGAAAGATAAAAAGAAAAAAGAGGATGTGAGTGTGGAATTAAATAAGGAACAATCTAACGAGTTTCTAAAAGAAGAAGTCAAAAAGTATCATGATGTACGTCCAATAGTGGCTGTTGCAGAATCTGGAAAATTACCAGAAAAGAAAGAGAGAACGAAGAAGCTTGTTAAAACTTTAGAGGAGAAGATTGTCACAGAATTGTCTCTAGCCAAAGATGAGAAGAAGATTATTTTATCAAACCAAGTAGTCACTGAAATGAAGCATTCAGACAATTTCCTGAAGCAAGAAGTTGACATTTATCATGACGTACGTCCTATTATTCAACCTGCTGCGCCAGAAAAGCCATCGGTTATCAAAGAGATAATTGTTATTGAAGAGCCTCATGTAGCAGCAATTCCTGAGCAAGTAGCTATCGACAAAAAAGATACTGACAAATTTTTAACCAAGGAAGTTGAACTCTATCACGATGTACGCCCTGTTTTGCCAAAGGAAGTTGAAGCAGTTGATGAAGAACCCAAAGAATCCAAAGGTCTATTTGGTATCTTCAAATCTCCTGAAAAGAAGAAACGCGAAAAAAGTGTTGAAAAAGAGGAAGTGGCTCAAGAAAAAGAAGCTAAAGGTTTGTTTGGTTTGTTTAAAGCGTCTCCTGAGAAAGACAAGAAAAAAGATAAAAAGAAGAAAGAGGATGTGAGTGTGGAGTTACATAAGAAACAATCTGATGACTTTCTCAAAGAAGAAGTTGATAAATATCATGATGTACGTCCAGTAGTGACTGTAGACGAGTCTAGAAAATCACCAGAAAAGAAAGAGAGGACCAAGAAGCTAGTTAAAACTGTAGAAGAAAAGATTGTCACAGAATTATCACCAGCCAAAGATAAAAAAAAGATTATTTTATCAGAACAAGTAGCAACTGAAATGAAACATTCAGACAATTTCCTGAAACAAGAAGTTGATATTTACCATGACGTACGTCCCATTATTCAGCCAAAAAAGTCATCAGTTATAAAGGAAATAATTGTTATTGAAGAGCCTCATGTAAATGAAACTTCTAAAATAACTGAAAAATCACCAGCAACTCCTGAGCAAGTAGTTATCGATAAAAAAGATACTGATACATTTTTGACTAAAGAAGTTGAACTCTATCACGATGTACACCCTGTTTCACCTAAGGAAGTTGAACCAGTTGATGAAGAACCCAAAGAATCTAAAGGCCTATTTGGTATCTTCAAATCTCCTGAAAAGAAGAAACGCGAGAAGAGTATTGAAAAAGAAGAGGTTGTTCAAGAGAAAGAAGCTAAAGGTTTGTTTGGTTTGTTCAAAGAGAAGGACAAGAAGGGTAAAAAGAAGAAAGACGCTAGCATTGAACGAGATGTTAGTGTGGAATTGAATAAGAAACAATCTGATGACTTTCTCAAACAAGAAGTTGATAAATATCATGATGTACATCCAATAGTGGCTGCAGAATCTAGAAAATCTCCAGAAAAGAAAGAGAGGACTAAGAAGCCAATTAAAACTGTAAAGGAAAAGATTATCACACTATCAGAACAAACAGCAACAGAAATGAAGCAATCAGACCATTTCCTGAAACAAGAAGTTGATATTTATCATGACGTACGTCCCGTTATACAACCTGTTGAGCCAAAAATACCATCAGTTATAAAAGAAATAATCGTCATTGAAGAGCCTCATGCAGAAGAAACCTCTAAAGCTATGAAGCCATCAGCAACTCCTGAACAAGTTATCGATAAAAAAGATACTGACAAATTTTTAACCAAGGAAGTCGAACTCTATCATGACGTACGCCCTGTTTTGCCTAAAGAAGTTGAACCAGTTGATGAAGAACCCAAAGAATCTAAAGGTCTATTTGGTATCTTCAAATCACCTGAAAAGAAGAAACGCGAGAAAAGTGTTGAAAAAGAGGAAGTGGTTCAAGAAAAAGAAGCTAAAGGTTTGTTTGGTTTGTTTAAAGCGTCTCCAGAAAAAGACAAGAAAGGGAAAAAGAAGAAAGAAGCTAGCATTGAAAGGGACGTGTCTGTGGAATTAAATAAAAAACAGTCTAATGATTTCCTAAAAGAAGAAGTTGATAAATATCATGATGTACGTTCAATAGCTGAATCTAGAAAATCACCAGAAAAGAAAGAGAGGACGAAGAAGCCAGTTAAAACTATAGAGGAAAAGATTGTCAAAGATAAGAAGATTATTTTATCAAACCAAGTAGTAAATGAAATGAAACATTCAGACAATTTCCTGAAGCAAGAAGTTGATATTTATCATGACGTGCGTCCCGTTATTCAACCTGTCGAGCCAAAAAAACCATCAGTTATAAAAGAAATAATTGTCATTGAAGAGCCCCATGTAGAAGAATCTTCTAAAAAAATAGCTACAAAACCACCAGCAATTCCTGAGCCAGTACCCATCGATAAAAAAGATACTGACAAATTTTTAACCAAAGAAGTTGAACTCTATCACGATGTACGCCCTGTTTTGCCTAAGGAAGTTGAACCAGTTGATGAAGAATCCAAAGAATCTAAAGGTCTATTTGGTATTTTCAAATCTCCCGAGAAAAAGAAACGCGAGAAAAGTGTTGAAAAAGAGGAAGTGATTGAAGAAAAAGAAGCTAAAGGTTTGTTTGGTTTGTTCAAACCGTCTGCTGAAAAAGACAAGAAAGGTAAAAAGAAGAAAGAAGCCAGTATTGAACGAGACGTGGTTGTGGAACTCAACAAGAAACAGTCTGATGAGTTTCTAAAAGAAGAAGTAAGAAAATATCATGATGTACGTCCAGTAGTGACTGTAGAGGAATCTAGAAAAACACCAGTTCAAACTATAGAGGAAAAAATTATCACAATATCAGTCAAGCCTGAACAAGAAATTAAACAAACAAGTAGTACTGTAGTCAAAGAAGTTATCGTAATTTCAACTCCAGAAAATTTACAAGCTCCAATTTCACCTAAAGTTTTAACAGAAATGAAAGACTCAGGCGATTTCCTGAAACAAGAAGTTGAAGTTTATCACGATGTTTATCCAAAAATAGAACAATCACCAACTTCCAAACAATCTACGTTAGAAAAGAAACAAAAAGGCTTGTTTGGCTTGTTCAAATCACCAGAAAAAGATAAAAAGAAAAAGGAAACGAGTGTTGAAAAAGAAACAATCAAACCAGTGTTTTCAGAGCAAGTTTTAGTTGACATGAAAAATTCTGACAGTTTCTTGTTGAAAGAAGTCGAAGTTTATCATGATGTTCGTCCAATAGTAGTTGCACAACAAGAAGAAATTCCAGAACCAAAAGAATCAAAAGGTCTTTTCAGTATCTTCAAGTCACCTAAAAAAGACAAAAAGAAGAAAGATGACAGCGTTGACAAAGCATTTTCTGAGCAAGTTTTAGTTGAAATGAAGCATTCCGATGACTTTTTGAAGCAAGAAGTTCAAAAATACCACGACGTTCGTCCTGTAATTGTAGCTGCTCAAATGAAAGAACCTTCACTAGACAAAAAGCAAGTTATTTCAGAACAAACAGCAATCGACATGAGAAATTCAAACAATTTCCTTGTAAAAGAAGTTGAAGTTTACCATGATGTTCGTCCAATAATAACTGTCAAAGAAGAACCTGTTCAAGAACAAACTAAAGAATCAAAAGGCCTATTTGGTTTGTTCAAGTCGCCCAAAAAAGACAAAAAGAAGAAAGACAGTAGCGTTGAAAAGGAATTAGTTAGACAAGAAATGCAACAGTCTAATATGTTTTTGAAGCAGGAAGTTGATAAATATCATGACGTACGTCCAGTGGTTGTTGCCATTGAAAATATAGAGATTGAAGAAGACGTTCAAGAGAATAAAGGTCTCTTTGGGCTATTTAAAAAAGACAAAAAGAAACCAGAAACTAAACCAGAGTTTTCAGAGCAAGTCTTAGTCGAAATGAAGCATTCTGATGACTTTTTGAAACAGGAAGTTTGCAAATACCACGATGTTCGTCCAGTGATCATTGGAAAAGTTGAGCAGCCCAAGGAATCTAAAACCAACTTAGTCGGTGTATTAAAATCGCCCGAAAAAGACAGAAAGAAAAAAGAGAAGAGTGTCGAAAAAGAAGAAGTTAAATTTGCCGTTTCCGAACAAGTGGCAGCTGAAATGAAAGATTCTGACAAGTTTCTTGTAAAGGAAATTGAAGTTTTTCATGACGTTCGACCAATAATTATTCAAGAACCTGTAGTTGATGTTGCTCCTGAAGCTGAAAAAGTAATAATTAAAGAAACCATTATCATAAGAGAAGAAGTAGCTCAAGAAAAACCTCAAAAAGAAGCCAAAGGTTTTGTCCAGGAAAATCAAAAATCTGTTCCAGAGAAAGAACATAAAGGCCTGTTTGATTTATTCAAAAAACCTAAGGACCATGTACTTTCAGAGCAACTAGTTAAAGACATGAAACACTCTGATGAATTTTTGAAGCAAGAAGTCGATATCTATCATGATGTCCGTCCAATAATTGCTACTGAAACACCCGAAGAGAGAAAATACCTAAAAGAAACTATAATAATAAAAGAAGAAGCTTTACCAGAACCTGAAACAAAACCTACAGTACCTGTTCGAAAACTAAAACAAAAACCCCCACTTTCTCAACAAGTCATACAAGACATGAAAAATTCCAAAGAATTTCTCAACCAAGAAGTGCAAGTTTACCACGACGTACGTCCGATTATAACTCCAGCTAAGGAAACCAAAGGATTTTTAAGCAAATTCAAATCCTTGGAGCGTGAAAAGAAAAAGGAAAAATCCCCCGAACTTGAAGAACATCAGAAAAAGGAATCGAAAGGATTTTTAGGTTTGTTCAAGAAACAGAAAAAGTCTGAGGAAAAACCAACTTTATCAGAACAAGCTGTAATAGACATGAAAAACACCGATAGCTTTTTGAAGACTGAGCTACAACATTTCCACGATGTTCGTCCTGTTGTTGAACAACCTCAAATTGTGGAGGAGCCTCATAAGGATAAAAAGGGAATTTTGGGTATATTCAAGAGAGATAGTCAAGAATCCGCTGACTCCGTGGGCAAAAAAGGTGTCTTGAGTGTATTTAAAAAACGCCCAACTAGTGTGGATAGAGATATAAAGCCTCAATTATCACCTGAAGCTATTGCTGACATGTTGAACAGTGACAACTTCTTGAAAAACGAAGTTGATATATATCATGACGTGAGGCCAATAATTCCAGCTACAATGGAACAAGAATCTCCTAAGTCTGAGAAAAAGTACATAAAGGAAACTATTATTATAAAAGAAGCTAAAAAAATATTAGCTGAACCAGCTATTTCTGAGGAAGTCAGACAAGCCATGCAAGATTCAGACATGTTTTTGAGGGACGAAGTGTCCAAATATCACGATGTGAGGCCTCTAATTGAAGCCAAACAAGAGGAAGTTGTCAAAGAGGAAGCCTCCCCACAAGAATCCTCACCAGAAAGGCATAAACACAAAAAAGGCATATTCAAAATATTCAAGAAAAACAAAAAGCACAAGCCTGAAGAAACTGCCAAACCAAATGAAGAATCTTTAAAGAACATTCAAGAAACACATCAATTTTTGACTGGTGAAGTAAAACAATTCCATGATGTGAGGCCAGTTATTGTAGATGCAGTAGCTAGATCAACGTTCTACACAGAAGTTGAAACAACAAATTTCCTTAACAATGAGCTGGACCAATACGAAGACGGAAAAACTATTGAAGAAAGCAGCTACATTCCTCCAAAGCTATCTGAAGCAGCTCTACTGGACATGATAACTTCCACCAACTTTTTACGTGAAGAAGTTAACAGATTCCACGATGTGCGTCCGATAATAAAGCCAGAAATCGAAGAATCTAAAGAAGAAACTAAACATTCCAAGGGCAAATTCTTTGGTTTATTTGGAAAAAAGTCACAGGAAGGAGAACAAGAACATCATAAGAAAGCAATAGAAGTTGTTTTAGAGCCAAATAAAGAAATTAGAGATGATAGCAGAAATTTCCTTCAAGGAGAAATTGACCGCTATCACGACGTTAAACCTGTTAAACAATCGCAATCCAATGGTGGTCTCTTTGAAACCGATTCAAAGAAGATTAAACCTGTTGAAGAGGGCTCAAAAACAACTACTGAATTAAGAGAAACCATTCACCAACCTCACTTGGAAGGTCAAAAAATCATCACCATCACTCACGAACCTGATAAAATCCGAACAGTAACCAAAGAAATGTACATTGTAAATCCAAATTTAATGCAAGATGTTGAAGGGCTGGACGAGGAGATTAAAAACAAGATTGCACAAGCTAAATTGGATGCTGAAGGAGGAGACCAATCCAAACCTTTTGTTAGGGAAACTTTTTCAGTACAAACCAAAATTATTGATAGAGTTATTCCAGTAAGCAAAACCACAGAAACTGTAACGGAAACTGAAGTTATTTATGAAAATATACCGGCAACCACAGATGATTTTCTACAAAAAGAAATCGAGCTTTACCATGATGTTTTGCCAACTGAAGCGACTACTGAAAAAGTAGAAGCTACTTTGAAATCTGAAGAAGCTCCTGAAAAGCCTAAACGCAAAAAGAGCCCCAGTCCTTTCAAAATGTTCGAGAGAAAACAAAAATCAGAAGACGACAAAGAAAACTTACCAAAGTCCGATGCCGAAAAGTCGAAAGAACGCAAAGAAAAAAGGGAAAAACGTAAAAGCGGAGGCTTCTTCTCGATGTTTTCCAAATCCAGCGAAGAATCTGAACCGATAATCTACAGTCCTGAGACGATGCAAACCCTACAAGACACCACAAACTTTTTGCACACAGAATTGACCAACTACGAAGACGCAAAACCTGTTTTGGTGACCGATTTAGACGAAGAAGATGTTGAAGCTGAAGAGCACACCAAATCTGGTTTGTTTAGCATATTCAGCAAAAAGCGAGAAAGTCCCAAAATCACTAAAAAACTATTCAAAAAACATAAAAAAGATCGATCCCAAGAATCTGCTGATATTACAGGGAAAACTTATCAAAAACTTGAGGACCTTGATGAAGCGCTTGGTAAAGGAATTGAAGATTTAAAGAAGCAAGTAGATGATACAGCAAGAAAGTTGAAAGAGAAAAAAGTTTTATTCGAAGAAGACTTGGATAAGTCTATTCAAGAAACTGAAACTAAGGGCTTCTTCACAAAACTCGTCACAGGAAAAACTGAACAAGAAAAACTTAAAATTGTCGAACAAAAATCTGCAGCTTTAGTTGATGATGTTGTTAAAGACGCAGAAAAACATGCCCAAGAACAAGCCAAAACTAAGGAACGAGTTTCATTGTTAAAAGATGAAGCTGATGAATTTTACCCATTGTCAAAGGAAAGTTCGTCAAGTTTCGTTAATGACATGCTGCAAAGCTTCGATACAAAAATGGAGCATGTTAAAGAAGATGGTGAACAAACAATTAAAGAAAAAGAAGCATTTGTGCAAAAAGTCAATGAAAAATATAGGGAAACTGAAGATTTGAGCAGGGAATTAGCTAAGCATACATTTTCGAATGATTTTCTGGATAATGAACGAAAATCTATTGAAAAAGACTTGGATGATTCCAAAAAAACAGGAGTAGGATTTTTTGAAGAAGCTACAAAAACTCTTAGTCAAACTGGTGATGATCTTGAAGTAACTGCTAAAGATACCAAAAAATCAGTTGGTAATTTCCTAGGTAAAATTGGTGACAAATTTTCCAGCAAATCTAAGAAAATTGCTAGTGAAACTGATGATGGCATAGAACGAGCCAAAGAAGAATCAAAAACAGTAAAAGATGAGGCTGATAAATTAAAAGAAGAAATTGGTGACGAGTTACAAAAGGACGGTACGAAATTGAAAAAGAAATCTGATAGTTTCTTGAGTAAACTGGGTGGAAAAATGTCTGGTAAAGCTAAGGAAGTTGAAAAAACTGCTAAAGATTCGCTAGACAAAACTGAAGACGCAGTTGAGCAAAAATCAGCTCTTGTCAAAGATAGCATTGACAAAACCATTGAAGATAAAGTTGAATCGACAATAAGTGAGGTTTCTGAAGGTGCAAAAGAAGCCAAAAAGAAAACTGGAGGCTTTTTAGGTAAATTGGGTGGCTTGAAAATATCAGGCAAAACGAAAGAATTTGAAAAAATTGATGATGATTCAGCTATAGATGATAAGGTTGTAGAATCTGCCAAAGATTTGAAGGATTCAGTTGAAGACAAAATTGCTAAAAAGTCAGACGACGTAAAGGAAGATCTTGAAGCAGTTGAAAAGAAAGTGATCGAATCTGGAGTTACAGCAACTGATTCTGCTGAAAACTTAAAGTCAGCAATCAGTGAAAAGGCCAAAGAAACTAAAAAGAAAACTGGAGGTTTCTTTGCCAAAATTGGAGATAAGATAAGTGGCAAAGCTGAAGAGGTTGAGAAAGATGTTACATCTGAGGCAAAACAAATTGAGCATGATGTTAGTCAAGCTGCAGAGAATGCTAAAAAATCTGTAGAAGAATTTGAAGCTCAAATGAATAAAGAGTCGAAAGAAGCTGAAGAAAAAATTGCTGACAAGAAAGAAGCTATTAAGGATACAATTGTTGCTGGATCAAAAGCTGTTGATGATCAAATTGCAGAAAAAGTAAAATCAGCGGCAAGTGACGTAAAAGAAGCTAAAAAGAAAGCTGGTGGCTTCTTTGGCAAAGCTAAGGAAGTGGAAAAGTCTGCACATGAAGCTAAGAGTGATGCTAGTGAAGCTATCAAAAAGTTTGAAGATAATGTGGAAGACAAAGTAATTGAAGAAACCATAGATGCTCAAGATATCGTCATAAGTAGCATAAATGAAGGTGTTTTAGATATTAAAAACCAAACAGCCAAGCATTTTGCAGACCTTGAAAAAGATGTAATCGAAAAGGAAGAAGCTGGCCATCGAATTTTCGATTCTGCTAAACATGAAGCAAAAGAAGCTAAAAAGAAAGCTGGAGGCTTCTTTGGTAAAATTGGTGATAAAATAACTGGCAAAGCTAAGGAGGTTGAGAAAGCTACTAAAGATGTTACAGATGATGCCAAACAAGGATTAAGAGAAGTTGGAGAAGCTGGAGAAAATGTTACAGCATCTGTGGAGAGATCCGTTGAAGAATTTGGAGAGAAAGTGAGCAGAGAATCAAAAGATGTAGTTGGTAAAGTCACAGATAATGTTAAAGAAGGTGGAGACAAGACAGCAAAACAAATCGCTGAAAAGACAGAGGCTGTTAAGGATGCAATTGATGATGGAGTAGAAACGGTTGACACTAAGATTACAGAGTCTACTGAAAAAGTAAAATCAGTGGCTGAGGAAGCACAACAAGTTAAAAAGAAAGCCGGTGGGTTCTTTGGTAAAATTGGCGATAAAATAACTGGCAAAGCCAAAGAAGTTGAAAAAGGAGCGAAAGATATCGCCAGTGATGCTAAACAAACAGCGCATGATGTAAGTGAAGCAACAGATGAAGCTGGAAAATCTGTAGAGAAGACAATTGAAGAAGTTGGTGATAAAATGAGCAGAGACGCAAAAGAAGCTATTAGAGAAGTAAAACTAGTTGAAGGCAAGGCAGTAGACCACCTCGCTGAAAAGAAAGAGGCTGCCAGAGATGCAATTATAGCTGGAGCAAAAACTGTTGACGCTCAAGTAACTGATTCTACCGAAACAGTCAAATCAGTTGCTAGTGACGTATCTGAGGAAGCAAAACAAGCTAAAAAGAAAGCTGGAGGCTTCTTTGGTAAAATTGGCGATAAAATAACTGGCAAAGCTAAAGAGGTTGAGAAAGTTACTGAAGATGTTACAGCTGATGCCAAACAAGGGCTAAGAGAAGTTGGCGAAGCTGGAGAAAATATTACAGCATCTGTAGAGAGATCCGTTGAAGAATTTGGAGAGAAAGTGGGCAAAGAATCAAAAGATGTAGTTGGTAAAGTCACAGATAATGTTAAAGAAGCTGGAGACAAGACAGCAAAACAAATCACTGAAAAGACAGAGGCTATTAAGGATACAATTGATGATGGAGTAAAAACGGTTGACACTAAGATTACAGAGTCTACTGAAAAAGTAAAATCAGTAGCTGAGGAAGCACAACAAGTTAAAAAGAAAGCCGGTGGGTTCTTTGGTAAAATTGGCGATAAAATAACTGGCAAAGCCAAAGAAGTTGAAAAAGGAGCAAAAGATATCGCCACTGATGCTAAACAAACAGCGCATGATCTAAGTGAAGCAACAGATGAAGCTGGAAAATCTGTGGAGAAGACAATTGAAGAAGTTGGTGATAAAATGAGCAGAGACGCAAAAGAAGCTATTAGAGAAATAAAATTAGTTGAAGGCAAGGCAGTAGACCACCTCGCTGAAAAGAAAGAGGCTGCCAGAGATGCAATTATAGCTGGAGCAAAAACTGTTGACGCTCAAGTAACTGATTCTACCGAAACAGTGAAATCAGTTGCTAGTGACGTGTCTGAGGAAGCAAAACAAGCTGAAAAGAAAGCTGGCGGGTTTTTTGGTAAAATTGGCGATAAAATAACTGGCAAAGCTAAAGAGGTTGAGAAAGTTACTGAAGATGTTACAGCTGATGGCAAACAAGAGCTAAGAGAAGTTGGCGAAGCTGGAGAAAATGTTACAGCATCTGTAGAGAGATCCGTTGAAGAATTTGGAGAGAAAGTAAGCAAAGAATCAAAAGATGTAGTTAATAAAGTCACAGATAATGTTAAAGAAGCTGAAGACAAGACAACAAAACAAATCGCTGAAAAGACAGAGGCTGTTAAGGATACAATTGATGATGGAGTAGAAACGGTTGACACTAAGATTACAGAGTCTACTGAGAAAGTAAAATCAGCGGCTGAGGAAGCACAACAAGTTAAAAAGAAAGCCGGTGGGTTCTTTGGTAAAATTGGCGATAAAATAACTGGCAAAGCCAAAGAAGTTGAAAAAGGAGCGAAAGATATCGCCAGTGATGCTAAACAAACAGCGCATGATGTAAGTGAAGCAACAGATGAAGCTGGAAAATCTGTAGAGAAGACAATTGAAGAAGTTGGTGATAAAATGAGCAGAGACGCAAAAGAAGCTATTAGAGAAGTAAAAATAGTTGAAGGCAAGGCAGTAGACCACCTCGCTGAAAAGAAAGAGGCTGCCCGAGATGCAATTATAGCTGGAGCAAAAACTGTTGACGCTCAAGTAACTGATTCTACCGAAACAGTGAAATCAGTTGCTAGTGACGTATCTGAGGAAGCAAAAGAAGCTAAAAAGAAAGCTGGAGGCTTCTTTGGTAAAATTGGCGATAAAATAACTGGCAAAGCTAAAGAGGTTGAGAAAGTTACTGAAGATGTTACAGCTGATGCCAAACAAGGGCTAAGAGAAGTTGGCGAAGCTGGAGAAAATATTACAGCATCTGTAGAGAGATCCGTTGAAGAATTTGGAGAGAAAGTGGGCAAAGAATCAAAAGATGTAGTTGGTAAAGTCACAGATAATGTTAAAGAAGCTGGAGACAAGACAGCAAAACAAATCACTGAAAAGACAGAGGCTATTAAGGATACAATTGATGATGGAGTAAAAACGGTTGACACTAAGATTACAGAGTCTACTGAAAAAGTAAAATCAGTAGCTGAGGATGCACAACAAGTTAAAAAGAAAGCCGGTGGGTTCTTTGGTAAAATTGGCGATAAAATAACTGGCAAAGCCAAAGAAGTTGAAAAAGGAGCAAAAGATATCGCCACTGATGCTAAACAAACAGCGCATGATCTAAGTGAAGCAACAGATGAAGCTGGAAAATCTGTGGAGAAGACAATTGAAGAAGTTGGTGATAAAATGAGCAGAGACGCAAAAGAAGCTATTAGAGAAGTAAAAATAGTTGAAGGCAAGGCAGTAGACCACCTCGCTGAAAAGAAAGAGGCTGCCAGAGATGCAATTATAGCTGGAGCAAAAACTGTTGACGCTCAAGTAACTGATTCTACCGAAACAGTGAAATCAGTTGCTAGTGACGTATCTGAGGAAGCAAAAGAAGCTAAAAAGAAAGCTGGAGGCTTCTTTGGTAAAATTGGCGATAAAATAACTGGCAAAGCTAAAGAGGTTGAGAAAGTTACTGAAGATGTTACAGCTGATGCCAAACAAGGGCTAAGAGAAGTTGGCGAAGCTGGAGAAAATATTACAGCATCTGTAGAGAGATCCGTTCAAGAATTTGGAGAGAAAGTAGGCAAAGAATCAAAAGATGTAGTTGGTAAAGTCACAGATAATGTTAAAGAAGCTGGAGACAAGACAGCAAAACAAATCACTGAAAAGACAGAGGCTATTAAGGATACAATTGATGATGGAGTAAAAACGGTTGACACTAAGATTACAGAGTCTACTGAAAAAGTAAAATCAGTAGCTGAGGATGCACAACAAGTTAAAAAGAAAGCCGGTGGGTTCTTTGGTAAAATTGGCGATAAAATAACTGGCAAAGCCAAAGAAGTTGAAAAAGGAGCAAAAGATATCGCCACTGATGCTAAACAAACAGCGCATGATCTAAGTGAAGCAACAGATGAAGCTGAAAAATCTGTGGAGAAGACAATTGAAGAAGTTGGTGATAAAATGAGCAGAGACGCAAAAGAAGCTATTAGAGAAATAAAACTAGTTGAAGGCAAGGCAGTAGACCACCTCGCTGAAAAGAAAGAGGCTGCCAGAGATGCAATTATAGCTGGAGCAAAAACTGTTGACGCTCAAGTAACTGATTCTACCGAAACAGTCAAATCAGTTGCTAGTGACGTGTCTGAGGAAGCAAAACAAGCTAAAAAGAAAGCTGGCGGGTTTTTTGGTAAAATTGGTGATAAAATAACTGGCAAAGCAAAAGAAGTTGAGAAAGATGCAAAAGAATCAACATTTGATGCCAAACAAAAACTGGACAAAACAGCTCATGAATTAAGCGAAGCAACAGAAGAAGCTTTTGGAGAAGCTAAAGATAACTTAAAAGAAATTGAAGATAAGACAGTGAAGCATCTTGTTGAAATTGAACAAGACATTATTGACAAAAAAGAAGCCGTAACTTCAGAAGCTAATTCTCAAATCAAGGATTCTGCAGAAAAAGTCAGCGACATCGTTGAAGTAACCAAAGAGGAAGCGAAAGACGCAAAGAAGAAAGCTGGTGGCTTTTTTGGCAAAATAAGTAGCAAAGCCAAAGATGTTGAAAAGGGTGCACAAGATATTGCCGCTGATGTTAAACAAGGATCAAATAAGGCAGCTCATGATGTAAGTGGAGCAGCAACCCAAGCCAGAACCTCTGTGGAAAGATCAATTGAAGAAACCAAAGAATTTGGTGACAAACTTAGTAGCAGAGCAAAAGATGATGTGAAGGCAGTTACAGTTGATATTGAAAAGGACGTAGATGCTACCAAACAATCTATTGTTGCTAGTGCTAAAGTTGTTGATGAACAAATCGAAGAAGTAACTGAGGAAGCAAAAGATGCTAAAAAGAAAGCTGGTAGTTTCTTCGGGAGAATTGGTGACAAAATAACTGGCAAAACTAAAGAAGCTGAACATGATGTCAAACTGCAACTGGACAAAATTTCCCAAAGTGCTGTTGAAGAAAGACTGATTCAAGAATCTAAAGCCAAACATGTTATACAACAAGCTGAAGAAAAAACAACCAAACATTTTGCTGAAATTGAAAAAGAAATCATCGAAAAAACAATGACAGATTCAAGTGATATTTCTGAAGAAGCTAAACATGAATCTAAAAAGAGCTTCTTTGGTAAAATCGGTGACAAAATCAGCGGTAAAGTTAAAGAAGCTGATGTCCACGTGAAACAAGATTTGGAAAAACTACAAGAAACAACAAAATATGCTGAAGATCAAGTAGATACTGCCGCAAAAGAAACCAAATCTCAACTACAAAAACAATCAACTGGTGAGGAATTAAAAGACAACGCCAAAGAAATCAAAAAGAAATCTGGCAGTTTCCTGGGAAAATTAGGAGGCAAACTGACAGGCAAGAAACAAAAATCCAGAGAATCCAGCCTGGAACCTGACATAAACATCTTAGACCAATTTCCGACTAAACAAACCCCAGACGAGGCCATCCAGGATCTGAAATCGACTATGCAATTCGAATCCTCGCATTCCAAACACTTGGATAATAAATTGCATTTGGGCGAAGTCAAGCAAAGAACTGTGGAATTTCTAGAAAGCGAAGGTTTTAGTCAAATGCCGAGAACTGTGAGCGACTATGGAGGTCAAATCAGAGAGCCTGATAGCGCTAGAGGTAGCATATCAGAAGCCAATATCGATTTATCAAATTTGCCTGCTGACATTGACCAGCAAGAAGCCTCAGCTTATGTAAGTTCACCTGTATTATCAAGACGAGCTGTGTCTCAAAGATATATAAAAGGAGAACGTCCGGATGTTGTTGAAATAAGGAATATAGCTGAGTATAGTATTGGGGATTTTAATCAGTATACTGTTACAGAGCCTGAAGATGTCGTCACGATAAAAAGGGCAATATTTCACATGGAATCGGCTGAAGATGAACTAGAACCTAAAATAATAATCAAAGAAACTATTACGACAACTGAGCGCGAGGTTGATAATTTAGTTGCGGACTTGACGAAAAATCTGGCAGAAGCTTCAAAACCTATAGTCATCACAAAGACAACCACAATAGTCAGAGAGCAAACATTACAGGAACACGTGCAAGAGTCCGAAGCTGACGTTGAGTTAATCGAACAAAAACTGCGTGACTTAGACAAAGCGTTAGATAATCTCGAAATTAAAGATAAAAAATTAAAAAGGGTCGAAAGAAAATTCGAAAGAATGGCTTCCGAAGTACTCGAAGAAGAAGCTTTGGACGGTAAACAAAAACAATTATCCACGCCCGATGTAGAAGAAAAACGCGAATCGGAATTTCAAAGGTTAGTGTCTCAAATCAGCCTAGAGGAAGTGAGCGACTTCCAGAAAGAGTACAGCCACTTGTGGGACGAGAACACGATATCAAAGAGTAGCGATTGGGAATCGAAAACGCCTGACAGTCAAATGGAAGAACTTCCCAAAGGTAGATTTTAGATGTTTGCTTTAAAAAAAAAAACAACTCAATAATTATTTTTCCATTTTTCTATCACGCAAAAGTAGCCTCTACTTGTATCACGACTTTTAACCCACCCAAAGAAACCAATTAATAATATCAAAACTTGCAGCATGTATTTTTATTTCAAAACTAATACTTATTATCATTTATATAATATGTCGGTTGTAGCTCAGAGGTTACAATGATTCTTTTTAAAAAAAAATACTTTGAGGTAAGTCTTTCAGTTTAGAAGGTTAAAGTAGCTTTTTGGACTTGGTCAACTGATGTGAAGTTAGCAGCCAAAAGTTAGCGGCCATTTTCCCGAAGATTGCCGAACGACCAGTGGCGTTGGATAATAATTTAATTTGATCAATTTCAAATATTCCAGTGCACATCAGTTAGAAATAGTTAATAATAAATAATAATATATTTTATTTTTATGAAAAACAAACAAATTGATATGGAAATGCGGTACCAAATATAATCGAATAAAATTATCACATTCTCTCGGTTTTTAGCTTTCCAGTCTTTGCTGCTTATCTACTTACCTTTAAAGTATAATTTTTTCTAAACACTACACACAATAACACTTTATTTGAACTTGCAAGATAGAAACAAGACTAATACAGCTGAACTTTAGAGTACAAAACACGCACTTGGATAGGGTCTTTTGATTTCTTATTTCTAGCTGCTATCTTAGAATGCTCGATTTCTCGAAAACTACACATAGTAACACTTTCAAATTTGTAGAGTAGAAAGAGGTTTAATAAAGCTAAAATTTAGTGTATCAAACATTTACTTGGAATGGGTCCTTCGATTTCTCATTTCTGGCTGCTATCTTAAAATACTCGATTTCTCAAAAACTACACATAGTAACACTTTCAAATTTGTAGGGTAGAAAGGAGTTTAATAAAGCTAAAATTTAGTGTATCAAACATTCACTTGGAATGGGTCCTTCGATTTCTCATTTCTGGCTGCTATCTTAAAATACTCGATTTCTCAAAAACTACACATAGTAACACTTTCAAATTTGTAGGGTAGAAAGGAGTTTAATAAAGCTAAAATTTAGTGTATCAAACATTTACTTGGAATGGGTCCTTCGATTTCTCATTTTTGGCTGCTATCTTAAAATACTCGATTTCTCAAAAACTACACATAGTAACACTTTCAAATTTGTAGGGTAGAAAGGAGTTTAATAAAGCTAAAATTTAGTGTATCAAACATTTACTTGGAATGGGTCCTTCGATTTCTCATTTCTGGCTGCTATCTTAAAATACTCGATTTCTCGAAAACTACACATAGTAACACTTTCAAATTTGTAGGGTAGAAAGGAGTTTAATAAAGCTAAAATTTAGTGTATCAAACATTTACTTGGAATGGGTCCTTCGATCTCTCATTTCTGGCTGCTATCTTAAAATACTCGATTTCTCGAAAACTACACATAGTAACACTTTCAAATTTGTTACTAGTTTTCGAGAAATCGAGTATTTTAAGATAGCAGCCAGAAATGAGAAGTCGAAGGACCCATTCCAAGTAAATGTTTGATACACTAAATTTTACCTTTATTAAACCCCTTTCTACTCTACAAATTTGAAAGTGTTACTATGTGTAGTTTTCGAGAAATCGAGTATTCTAAGATAGCAGCTAGAAATAAGAAATCAAAAGACCCTATCCAAGTGCGTGTTTTGTACTCTAAAGTTCAGCTTTATTAGTCTTGTTTCTATCTTGCAAGTTCAAATAAAGTGTTGTTGTGTAGTGTTTAAGATTTAAGAAAAATTATACTTTAAAGGTAAGTTGATAAGCAGCAAAGACTGGAAAGCTAAAAACCGGGAGAATGTGATAATTTTATTCGATTGTACATATTTGGTAATTCATTTCCATATCAATTTGTTTTTCATAAAAATAAAATATATTATTATTTATTATTAACTATTTCTAATTGATGTGCACTGGAATATTTGAAATTGATCAATAAATTATTATCCGACGCCACTGGTCGTTCGGCAATCTTCGGAAAACTGGCCGCTAACTTTTGGCTGCTAACTTCACATCAGTACTTGGTCAAGAGTTTATGAGCTACAACCGTTCCATAAAAACCACCGAGTCCACCGTACACATCCACACTAGAATATTTTCTCTCCTTCTCGTAGGTGAAATAATTTACATGGGCCCTGTCACTCTAAATAAAGGTAAATCGATAAATCCCGGAGGTGCCGAGGTGGACGTGATTCCGATAATGCCCAGTCCACATTGCTCGCCCAAGCATCAGAGAAAGGGCACGAAAAGGGCGAAATCCGAAATGGGTTTTTACAAAACTAATCGCCTGCTAGTCGAAGACGACCGAGGAAGTTTGCCCGACATTAAATTGTCGAGTGGCTTGTACGAAACTGTCATTCGTATGACTCCCGAAAGATTTTTGGGAAGGAGCAGCGAGTCGTTGACTAGCTCCAAGAGTTTATGTACTAGCGAGAAAAGTATTACGGGGGCTGTTAAACAGTGGCTGGAAAGAACCAGCCCTTATAGTTCTACTTACGATTTACATAGTTTGGATGAGTTTGACAGCAAAATTCCTGACATTATTATTAATATAGAAGATTGTGACAATAATAATGGTAATAGTCAAAATAGAAGCACCTCTTTTTTAAATAGGAATTTTAGACCCAGGCAATGACGGGGCCCTATTATTTTGGTTTTTTGCATGTTACAAACTTAACCAGCACCCCAAGCAATCTTTGGCTTTTTGTGTTTTATTTGATTTTGTTTTACTTTATATCGGTGTTGTGTGTCAAGAAAAATTTATTCATTTTATTATTACATTCCATTTGTAAACAACCCCAGCTTTGAATCAAACCCCAAAATTAATAACATTGCTAGTTCCTGCCTAACATTTAACTACATCTTTTTAGAAATAAGCTGCGGACTAACCCATCAAGCCGAGCCCATTGTACTAACAACCGCTGAAGTTCCTCAACCTAAACCACGCACTACTAAACCGTCAGATATTCCGTTAGATTTTTCGAAAGCTTTGCCTAAAAACGACAAAATTCTCTCGCCGGTCAGGGACGATTTATTAGACAACGACGAGGATGATTTCGCCACGTATTCGGATCGTAAAAAGTTTTGGGAAAACGTCGGAAAAGACCAAAAACGACTGAGTCTGCACGAAGTTACCGTTAGTGAAAACGTTATTGCCAAAAAACGTCTCTCCATACAACAAGACATTATTGGTCAGCCTCCGATTCCTAAACCCCGCGCTTCTCATCAGGAACCCGAAAAGGAAAAAACCGAAACTGAACTAAAAATAGACAAAGCAATCGAAGAAGAAAACATACACGCCCAAGAAGAACTCACCTCTATAATAGAAAACATTGAAAACCCAGAAAAAATCATGACCGAATATCAAGCCTCCTTTATGCCTCCTGCTGACCGCAAAGAAAAATTCAAACAGCAAAGTACAGACAGTATAGACTCGGACAAAGCCCAAAAAGGCAGTAGTCAGCTAATCGAACATACGGGCTACATTTCCGACAGCGAAGACGTAGAAAACGTCATCTCCGACTCGGAAATCGAAGACAGAGTACCACAAATACGCGAAAGGCAAATGAGCGTTTTTACTGCACCAACTCAACAACGTAGAACCATCTATGAACGATCAGCTTCATTACCAACAGAAGACTTATACGAAGTCTCTAGGAATTTGAAACATTTAAAAGAAAAATACGAGCAAAAAATCAGAGAAGATATGATCGAAGATACTGATAATGAAGAAGATAGCTCGCCTGAAAGGAAAACTTTAGCCACGTTACAAGAAGAACGCATAAGTGCAATCAGAAGCCAAGTAGATCAAGCTATGGCTAAAATAGGCGAAGAAGTTCAAGACGAAGAAACTTCATTCGTACCAATTAAAACCACACCACAAAAAGAAACCATTCATGTGGACAAAAGCGAACTGGAAAAACCTGAAAAAATTCCAGAAATCACTTTTACCTTATCGGGCAAACAACGTAGAATAAGCGAAGAGAGTGATGAATCTCCTGTAAAACAATCCGAAGAACACGTACAAGAAACTCTATGGGAAGCAACTGTTGAAACGCAACCAGATTTCATTGAAAAAGCCGACAGCTTCGACCAAAAAGAGCAAATATTAAAAACAGAAGACATAAGCGAAATCGAGGAGCTACCATCAGTAGAAGAAGACGAATTCTCCCAACTCGAACACGTCCTCAAGCGACAATCAATACCAGATTTCGAAAAATTCGAACTCCAATACACCACAGATGACGAAACCTCCTACATAAAAACTGACGCCACTGAAGCAGACTTTTCGAGCATAAAAGAAAACATTTCCGAAAAACTCACCAAAGAAATCCACGAGAAACTCAACGAAAAACTCAAAGCCCAAGACATAATGATCGAAAAGGCCGTGTCCGAAGAAGTGGACGATAAAACCTTAGACGAACTAAAAGAGCTTATGGTTGAAGAGGCCCTCGAAGAGCTCCACCAACAAAGAGAAGAGTCAGATTTGGGCTCGGAAATCCACCTGGACCAATCCGACTCGGCCGTATCAGACCGAATCAAATCTGAATCTCACAGCGAAATCGAAAAAATAATCCTGGACACCTTTCAACACATGAAAGTAGATCCCGATGAAGCTAAAAAAATCGCTTCGCAACTTATACAAGAAATTGAATCCGAAATTCAAAATAGAGGCGAACTATCAAAATCCGAAGCAACTGAAATGTTCAATCCGGAAATGTCTAGCTATATAAAGCAACTAGCTGAAACTAATGGGCTGGACGAAAGGGAAATCGAACTAGTCGAATCAGTTTTAGCTAGAAGACAGCGCGAGTTAGCTAAATTAGCTAGAGGAGACACTCAAGCTTCCAGTATGGAAATAACTGACGAAGACTTACGCTACAGCGGTGGAGAATTAGCTGACTACACGCACACATTGGAACAGCAAATGGGCCAATTAGAAGCTGAAAAAGTAGCCCTGGAATATTTGGATCAAGAAAAAGAGTTTATTGATGAAATCCATAAAACCGAAAAAGTGTTTTCAAAAGATTCTGAAACCTTTGAAGATGCCAGGCATACAATAACCAAAAAAGATGTTAAAGTTTCTATTGAGGATTCTGTTAAAGGCGAAAAAACTTTCACTGAACACAAAAATGTTATACTAGAAGAGGATGAGACTATTTCGGAATCCAGCCTGGAGGAGCATGGAAGAATTAAAACACACATTGACTCTTCGGTGTTAGAAGTCTCTCAGGCTAAAACCAAAGACTCAGATTTGAATAAAATAAAAACAGGCACTGTAACATTGGATAAAACCTCCAAATTCGATGTGGAAAAAGAGTACAAGGAAATAAAAACTGATAAGATGTTTGAGGAAACTAAAAAAGAACAAATTGAAGAAAATGAAAAAACCCAAGTCAAAGGCAAGTATGTCGAAGACCAAACCTCCAAACAAGTTACCGATAGCTTTTTAAAAGAACTCAAATCCACTACAGAAAAGGAATATGACGAAACCCAACAAAAAGACGAAAAGCACCACAAAGAAGAACTAAACAAACTAGAAAAACTAGACGATGGCACACAAATATCAACAAACATTTCAGTGGACAAGCAACATTACACCACTAGCACCGAAATAGTGACCAAAGACAAAACAATAGTGGAATCAAAAACAATCGACACCACTAGCTCAGACTTATCCAAACTCCTCGAAACAATCCAACGAACATCGAGCTCAGACTCCAAATCCAGTCTAGATTCGAAATCTCCATCAGACAAAGCCCACGTTATCCTACGCAAAACGAAATCTGAGCTGGACAGTAGCAGCAGTAGCTCAAAAAAACCCGACAGGCGATCTGGCATTGAATTCGAAACCTATTCAAGCTCAGGCGAAAGCCATTATCAAAGCTTTGACATGGACAGTGCCAAAAGTCGCCCGTGTTCATCAGACGTTGAAGCTATAGTAGCAGCTTCGTCAGAATACGACACAGCTCTCACATCTACCCAAGAATTTTCAGCAAAATCAACTGATTATCATACAGCCATCAGTAGTCTTAGCTCAAAGGAAAGCATGAAAAGTCTCGACAGTGAAAGCTCAGGCAATTTAGCTAGCGTAGAAGTGTCTGAGCACTCCGAAACACTCGTGCCATCAACCAGTGATGATATTTTAGATGGAATGGACGATGCTCCTGCAAGACCTAGCAGGCAAGTGAGCACAACCGATAATGACTCAATGGATATTTCGGAAGATAACGATTTGGATTTGGTTATGTCGAAAATGAAACGTTCGGCTGAAATGACGTTTCAACCAGAACCAAAAGTTTTATCATCAGATTTAGACACACAATATGGCCACAGCTTGGACGATGGTAGTATTTTAAGCATGTCAAGTACTTCTAGTACTGGGGCTCAAAGGACTGTAATTGAAGTTTCTGAAAGACACGAAGAAGATACAATAAGAGGCAGTCAGGAAAGCTTACCACTAACACCTACTTTGTTTAAAAGCGACATAAGCACCTCTACCCCACAAATTCACGAAGACTTGCCTATTGAGCATGTCACCATAACAACATCAAATGTTAAAGAAGATGGAGTGCACTGTGCCAGCACGCAAATTACTTCCGAGACAAGTGAAAGCTCCAAACCTGAAGGTAAAAAGGGCCATAAGCGTTCTGGAAGTACCATGATGGGAATATCTTTACCTACACGGAAAGAGAAAAATCAAGAATCCGAAAAAGATATTGACGAAAAAGAATTGTTTGACAATGGAGATTTCGATTCGGCAAAACATACAGACTCAGAAAGACCTTTGTCGTTAGCTGAAACGTCTTCTATAACAGAGTCTATTGAGCCATCAGAGTATAGCGTTTCACCAAAACCAAAAGACATCAGTTTGGACCTTCAACGAAAACACACTTCGAAAGATGTGTTGGAAAAACGCGACTCGCACGGCACTTCGAGCGAAAAATCCAGCTTCGAAGAAGCCGAAGCGGAAGCTGCCTTCAACATGGTGGCTCATGTCTCACCAGCGCACAAAGTCAAACAAATCGTTCCGATTTTAGAAGATGAAGATGCCGAAAAGCACGAACTCGAATTGCGCGAAAGACAAAGGCAGGAGCTCGAGGAAAAACGAGCCAAAATGCGCGACATCAGTCCCGGATTTATACCGGACATTACTGTAACTGATATGACTCCCGAATCGGAACATCACAGTTCACAAGATTCGTTTGAAAAAATTGTACAAGAAGAGGCTAAACAAGAAGAAGGTTCACCTCCGATCGAAGATGATATATTAACTTCGTCGATGATGCAATCGACTTTAATTGAATCGACAATGAGTGTGACTACAACAATAACTGAATCGATTACAAGTGAAGCAGCTACAGTTGTTGAAGCACTCAAAGACGACGTTGATTCACAAAGCAGTGACTCGTTCGAGATGCTAGAAAAGCCCGACATCATCGACGATTTCGTCGTAATCGAAGAGGTGGGCAAAGAAGCTCAAGAGTTCGATACCGAAGGCCAAAGCGTAAAAATCGACAAAGGTACTAAACTAACTAAAAAGCACGACGAAGAAATTGAAAAATATTTGGCTCACTCGGCTCCGACGCCTCTAACCGGTGCAAGAGTAGACGAGTTCGGGTTCGATTTCGAAGACAGCCCGCCGAAACCTGAAGGCAGCATTTCCACAAGAGAATACGGCTACGAATACGACAAGGAATTGGAAGCGAACAAAAAATGGATCGAACAACAATTCCAAGGAGATCAGGCGGCCATGTTGGCCGCAGGCTACGGCTACGAAATGGAATTCGAACGAGGGCCCTTAGAAGACATCAAAGAAGAGGACATCAACGATTTTGCAGCTTCGAGTTACGGTTCGCAAAAAGAGTCAGGAGGAAGCGTCAAAGACTCATATTCGAGTACGCCAGACTATGACGTGTTGGCCGGAAGGAAATACTTTACTCGCACAGGAGAGCAAGACGACATATCGATGAACAGCTTGCAGGAATTCGAAAACCTCGAGCAAGCGATGTCGTTGGAAATGAGAAAGTTCCATCAAGGACAAGGCTCTGATTCGTCGAGCAGCGGAAGTTCCAAAACCCGATTCCACCACAGCAAAAACAATACTGGAGATGATATTTCTGTGAGCTCTTTAAAGGAATTCGAAGGTTTGGAGCACGCATGCATTCAAGCGCACAAAATTGAAGTTAAGGCTAAAGAAGAAGAAGCTATGCTGTTGGCTCAAATTGAGGAAGGTCAAGAGAGTATCGCTTCGGAAAGTGAAAGTTGCGAAACTACTGGGACGGAAAAAAAAGTTACTGATACTGATGAGGAGGAGGACTACGAAAAACGGATGTTTGAAATCGACGAGATTATCAAGCAAGCTCAAACCAACGTGGAAAGGTTTATAGATTTAAGGGAAATGGAAAAAACCGAGTCACTAGGACGGGGCGATTCTATTGAAGAAGTTTCCAGGGTGCCAGACTTAGAACTGGACGCCCCTGTTAAATCAACAATTAAGGTGCAATGGAAAGAAGGGGATGATGTTATGATTACCAGCACTGACTCTTTGGACTTAAAGCAAGAAGAAACTAGACGTGATAGTACTGATAGTTTGGACGCCCAACCTGTCGCTGGTGATGTTATGACTGCCAGTACTGATTCGATAGAATTCCAAGCCCAAAAACCCAACACCAACATTATGACTGATTCAATAGAAATTCGCGAGGAAAAAAGCTACATGGTTTCAAGCGACTCGCTGGAACTTGGTCAAGCTACTAGTAGTGGCTTAAACATCATTCAAACCGATTCGATCGATGAGGACGGGTCTAGGATCGGAGGTCATGACCATAGCAGTGCCAGCACTGGCAAGGACTTCAGCTCTAGCGCAAAAGAAGACATTATGGAAATTTCTAGCTCCACAGCCACTCACGCTACAATGCAATACGAAACCGATTCGGTCTTTTCTGGAAGTTTCACTAGTGCCGGATCAAATACGATGGTTTCCTCTACAGACACCATCGATCCTGTTATGATCGACGTCGGAGCTGCAGCAAGAAAAGTATGGTTTGATGAAGACTTTAATGGTAGACGCGTAACGGAATACGTAGAAGAATCTTCTAAACCGTACGTGTCCGAGACTTACGAGCCAACGGACGATGAACAGTTTTCGCATATCGTTCATAGGAAAGTCGAGCTGGCTCCTGAAGTCAGGAAAGTCACTTTCACCGGACCAGACGCCGACGAGCAACTGAAAAGATTCATGCAGGATTTTAACGAGGGCGAAGAAGTCGAAGAAACTCAAGAGGTTGACGAGTACGGTAATATTCATACTAAGAGAGTCGTTCAAAAACGGTTTGTTGTGAAAAGCGACGAACCTGGGGCGCAAGTCGATATCGAAGACTATTTCAGGAGGTTAAATCAACCTGATGCGGCGCCAGAACTAACCCGACTAACCCATTCGATAACAGGTTTGTTTCAAAATACTAACCCCTTCTTCAAAACCCCCCGTAATATTTTTTTAGTTATTCGTTTCACTTCACATTTATTTTGTATTCACAATTATTTGTTTATTTTTGCATGCTGGTTTTTCTATATATGCATGAAATTAACTCTACTAGAGGATTATTTAATATAGACGTGTTTTATTTTTTTTGGATCACTAATCATTGGATTTTTGGTCCAGCAAATTCAAGCCTCTAAACAACTTTTACTAAATGATTAGTGATTCATGTTCAATGTAATTTTGATAAGGACATTCTTTAAAGTTCTTTTAACTTATAGGTGCAGAACAAGCTCACTCTACCAGTTCCCAACAGGCTACTTCTACAAAAGGTAAGCATTGAAAATAAATTTTTCATGGCTTATAGAATGGACGAAGACAAAGTTTAATTCTTCGCAATTTTAGAGAAAAAAAAATACTTCACAATCATCACAATCAAGAAAATAAGTATACTATAATTATTAGGTATTGAAGAAGATATTAAGTATCTAATTTTAATATCCAACGATTATGAGACTTATCCAGTCCCAACCATTTCTTATACACTTTGTCTCTTCTTCTTCTTAGACACTAAATTAGTGTGACTTCTATGCCTATATACCTTATAACATTATATTTTCTACACTACGCTTTGTTCATAGCAGCTTCTTAGATATAAACAAATTACATAAAATATCGTTTTGATGCTGTAGCTGTAACCCGTAGAAGGCCGTTGCGTTATGAAATCAGCATGGAAGACCAAACCGAAGTTAATCTGAGGGAACACGATTGGCGCTTTAACTTGCCACGATATGGTAGATAGAATTAAAAGTCGTTTTATTGTTTATTTTTTTTACACTTTATTTCTCCATTTGAACACTCGATGTTGTGATTCTTCTACAGTTGGAACAAAGATGTATTCGCATGTTGCAGATGCCGATAAAGGAACCTCCATTTTTATTTTTTATTTTGTAAATATGTTTTGCTCCCAATTTATTTTTGTATGATTAAATATATAATGTACTTACTATTTAAGCATGCGATATTTCATCCATCTATTTGTACTTTTAATTGATTTGATTTTGTTTTAATTATTTTTTTTACGTTTTGCAGCTGAAACTGAGGATTCTCATGACAAAGGAGCCAAAGATAAATCAAAGTAAGTAAAACAAAAATTAGTAATTACAAGCAAAATAACATGTTTATATATTCTAGAAAAGTCTCAGACCAACATCAACTTTCCGACGAGATGCAACAACTACTAAAAGAAATGGAGAAAGAGAGCAAGCAATAAACGACTGATTAAGTTATTGAACCCTTTTTAATGTAAATTAGCGATAAATCCGCAAAAATACTCGACTCGAACAAAATACTCCCTCCTTGTTATATAACTAGATTTGCCTAGTTATATAACAACTGATTGACCAGAGGTATTCGTTTGGATGGTTGCTTAAGTAAAGCTATTATTGCAATATTTAAATAGGTATATAGCTTGCGTTTTTTGTTTAAAAAATTGTCCACTTAACGCGTTGTCCGATCAAAATTCCATATTATTCTGCAATTTTTTTTTTGAAGTTTAATGTTTGTATAGGTGCAACAGCTACTTATTAGGCCTTTAAGTTCTTTTAAGCTAGGATCAAAGAAGGCCTAAAGTAGCTGTATAAGTTTATTAGGAAAAATAAAGAGTACTTATTTTAATAAAACAAATTCGATGTTGTAAGTTACTACTGCATATATTTTTATCGCTTACTTTTTTTTTTGTTAAAGCTGTTATTTTTTTATAATATATTGTAAGTTAAGGTTACCTTATTTGTATAAAAATGATTTAAATTGTACAATTCTTAGTCACTATTATATAGCTTTATGGTTACATTATTATCGTTATGGCATATTCCCGTCGTTTTTTTTTTCTTGATATCGAAAACGGTTTAGTGGTTTTTACTGTTTTCGTTTAAACAAAAAAAAAATATACTGGGAAGAGTCAAATGAATATTTATTATTTATTTAAATCAATGTGAAAATATTCTATAATTAATCAATGTATCAAGACAAAAAATAATTCAACGTCTAAACGTAAAGCTTTCAGTATAATAAAATTTTGTGTTTTATTTCAAGGTAGTTCCAGTAAGTACCCCTATTTTAAACGCATATTATTGCAGGGCACTGTCGACTGTCAAAATTATTTTACAGCTCCTACTAGATAGTTGTATATTTTTAAACCATAACCTATCAAATGTCTCGATTCCCAAGGTCGTATGGTGTCGCACCGTTGTCGACGTCATCAACGGTGACATCAGCTATTTGCGCCAGCGGTCCCAGTTTAAAATAGGTATTATACATTTATGATGAAAAATATTATTTAATTTTAATCAACATAACAGGTATAGAGGAAGATGCAAACGATGTTTGTTTTAGAATGTTAATTAATGTTCTAAAACCGAGGATGCATAAAGCGAAACCCAGCGGAATTCCTGTGGTGAAAACCCAACAAACACCCTACGTCAAAGGGAGAAACGACACACGATTCTACGTTATCACTGGTACATTAACATGGTGAGGGACTCGAGATTTGATCTACATAGGCCTTATGAGGATATGGGCTATGCTGTGTAATGTATAATATCCTTGGCCTTGCATTGAGACGATCTAGTACCAAATTTAACGGAGAACGTCATTATAAACATTTTAACAATCGTTTTTTGAATAACTAGTGCAGAAAAAATGTATTATTTTCTCCTTTATTACAAGCTGGTAGAAAAAGACACGAATACACTCAGTGCGCACTAAGGCTTCCAATAGAATTTGCTATAAGATGGTTGGAATTTTTATTTCTTTTAATAAAATTGAATCAAAACACTTTTTTTGGGTGAAAATATTGTCAACCCTATACATGGGACCCCGGGCTACAAGCAAATTCAGTACACTACACTGACCCACGGGTTGAAACAAGTAACTGAAACTAAGCAAGAAAACACAACCAGACTTTAACCTAATTATTAATTAGCAAATGTTGGATATAAAAGCCACTGCCACAGTATGGTAAATCAGTCGTGTCTCAGCGCTTTTCTGTAGTGTTGCCACAGGTGGCCCCATATGGCCAGATTTGGCCCTTTCTAAGACGGAGTGGCCCGTTGGCCACTCTTTTTCGTATCTGGCCCGTTTCTTCATAGCAAGCCAAATCATGATTTTTTGATGTAAAATAAATGTTTTTGGGCGTGGCACCCGAGAAATTTTTTTGCCTGCGGCGGGGTTTCTATCTTCTTTTCAATTTGAAAACGGTTTGCCCGAAATTCTGAAATCTGGCTCTTTTTAAAAATATAGCCTGGCACGAAATTTTCAGAGCCTGTGGCAACACTGCTTTTCTGTATCAGTAGGCGTTTGGCTTTCTTGCAAAATTGTACAGGGTGTGTGTTTATAACTGGAACACTCAGTTGCTTTTTTATCATTGAAAATAATGGAAATTGGAAAATTTTTTGCAGGGCCGCCGCTACCATGTGCGGTGTGTCAAAATACACAGGCGGCCGACTGAAAGGGGCGGCCGATTAAAAAGGGTTGCCACCAAGGATGATGCAAAAAAAAATCATGTGCAGCGCTGTAGGGGTAGAGTGGGGCAGGTTCGGACGGATTTGGTTAAGGTGATACCGAACTTTTATTTTAGCTAAACTAATTGTTCTAAAAATGCAAATATATTGTTTCATATGTTTTTAAACCAATGCCATAACAATTTCAGAAAAAACTTACACCGTTTTTCGTGAAAATTAAAATAAAAAAAAGTTGTCATTTGTCCGAAGGTGCCCCACGGTGGGGCAGTTTTGGACACGCATGGGGTATAGGGTTTCCATACGTCCGGATTTACCCGGACATGTTTGGGTTTTTAGGGTATCCGGGGAAGTCCGGCCGGAATTCAGAACAATGTCCGGAAAACTCGATCAAGATCGTGAAAACAACCTAACTTTGTTAAATATTATATATAAAAATAAAGTATTATCACTTTACGCACTAGTGCGTGAATTTGTTTAATTTTTTTTTTTAAACATATTATATTGGTAGTAGAAATTTTTGTGTAGGTATGCAATACGCGTGTGAAGTGTAAAGCTTGAGGGAGAATTCTCATGAGCGTAAGTTGACATTTCTGGCGTAATCACGTGATAATATGTATAATTTGATTGGTAAAGTATCCAACATGACAAATATTTTACGAATAAAACCCAACCATTTTATCACGTGATTACGCCAGAAATGTCAACTTACCCTCATGAGAATTCGCCCTCATTCTCAGTTGCGCGAAATTCGCTCTTTTTTTGACATTACTTCGGCAATTTGACATTTTATGCGTGTGTCAAAAAAAGAGCGAATTTCGTGCAACTGAGAATGAAGCTTAAAGCAACTTTTTTCACTCATGTGATCGGCAAAATTCACATTCGTGAAAAAAGGTTCACTTTACACACTTGCTAAATAAATAGCTATTTTCTACTACCGTGCGTAAAGTAGGTACAGGGTGATCTATTATAAATGTCACCCCCTGCTAACTTTTTCATTTGACGTTTTTGACAGAAGTGTCAAATACAAAAGTTTTGAGAAATTGTCAAATGTTTTTAACTAAGTCAGTTTTAGGCATACAGGGTGCGTTAAAAAGGTACAGCAGTGTGAAGTTATATTTTTTTTAAATGGAACACCCTGTATATTGTGCGCTTATTTGTTAGTTCCGTTTAACCTAATTTCAACGATATACGATTTGATATGTTTATTTCTCGGTTTATCTCCAATAGTAATAGGGAAAAACGCGAAAATCCCTTCCTAGGTCTCTCATGTTATTTTTTTTTAAATACTAATAATAACTTAGACATCTGAATTTATTATAATATTTCACCTTCCATATTAATGAATAAAATTTGAACAATATACTGTCCATAAAAAAAGTTCTCTAAAGCCTAAATGGTATAATTTTTCTTTTTTCAATGTGAAACCTTGAAAGGGGTTTTCATGTTTTTCCCTATAGCTATTGAAGATAGACATATCAAACCATATATCGTTGAAATCAGGTTAAAAGGGACTAACAAATAAGCGCACAATATACAGGGTGTTTCATTTAAAAAAATATAACTTCACACTGTTGCACTTTTTTGACGCACCCTATATACCTAAAATCAATTTAGTTAAAAACTTTCGACAATTTATTGAAACTTTTGCATTTGACATGTTTGTCAAAAATCTCGAATGAAAAAGTTAGAAGGGGGTGACATTTATAATAGATCACCCTGTACTCACTTTACGCACTATTCAAAAGACGATAAATTTCACTTCACGCACTAGTACGTTAAGTAATTCACTTTACACACTAACGCATGGAGTATAATGCAATGACAGATGTCGACACTGTCATTTTTTTCTAGTAAATTACTTCACTATATGCACTAGTGCGTAAAGTATATTTGCCTAAATTTATTTTATATACATATTTTATTGGTAGTGGGAAAAAAAATTGTATGCAATAGGTACGTGCGTAAAGTGAACCTTTTTTCACGGATGTGAATTTTGAAGGCGAGTGCGACAATCACATGAGTGAAAAAAGGTTCACTTCACACACTTGTTGCATAAATAGCTATTTCGGCGAAGTCCGGATTTTGTCCGGATTTATTGACTCCTTTGTCCTGAATTCTGAAAAACCTTTATGGAAACCCTAATGGGGTAACTCCGGATATATACTTCATAAACAGTTTATTTTTTGACAGGTATATTTTAAATAGTTTAGCATCTATCTAAACATCAAAACTCATAGTCTAAAGGAACTCCAAACATACAAACCTATAAACTTTGGCACTAGCCTACAAAAATAAATAATATAATAATATAAAAATAACAAAAATAAATAATAACAAAAAAAACGTAAATTAAACATGTTTCTATTATTAAAGTATAAAATAATTTATTTTACATTAAAAAAACCAAAATGTACCTAAGTTGAATTTTAAAAATTTTGCCATGCGAGCATTCCCAGCATGAGAAGTTGATAGTCCGAATGTGCCACACCCTGTAATGTCCGTATGTACTTTGTACGCATACCCCTTTAAAACCTAAAAATTACAATACCAAATCGTGCAAAACCTTACGAGTACAGGACATAATACTTGGTTGGGGTCACTATTTATGTATTTCTGGTGATCACTCCCAAATTTCTCAAGATACCGGCACAAAATTTTGTCTGGCGATATAAAGCCAGGACAGCCAGGCACTGGTACCTACTGTTAAAATCCCGAAACGCGTTAAGTTTCAGAAGGCGGTAAATTCAAAATGTCCGGAGGTGCCCCATCCCAAGTAGCACATAATATGGGGTAAACATCGTTTTTCAGTTGGGCCAATATTTATTCATTTTTGTTGATAAATCAACACAGTACCAACATTGGGGCAACGTTAGTTTTAACTATGTGGAAACAATATTTAAAAATAATCTTGTACCAATATTGTTTTCATAGATTAATTAACTCTTCAGTAATTTGAATATTGGCCCAAGACTTCTCACTACAATATTGATTTATGAAATATTGGCCAAATATTACATTTTATATTATTGAAACAATATTGTAATATAATATTAATTCAATATTGGCATTCAATTTTTTATTGATATTTAAATTCACTTCAAAAACTTTGTACACCCAATATTTATTTCCAATTTTTTCGCAATATTGATACTTTTTGAAAAGCCCAATGAAGGGCCAATATTTACATACTAATTTTTACCAAGGTTAGATTTTCTGAATTGAAAATGTTGGTCCAATATAGGGTATTCAATGTGCGCACTTGGTGTGCCGACCAAAAAATAGATGGAGACTCTGTCTTCACTTTACCTGTCTTAAACCTGGTTCCAGGATGAAGCCAAAAATTGGTTGTTTTCTCTCTGCGGGACCCTGGCGGGACTTAACCATGCTGATGACTTGTGATACAGCGAAACGGGTCCACGGATGGTCCGGCAAAGAGAAAACACTTCTTAGTCGGTCCTTATAATTGGTCCGTTACCTTAATTAAATATAATATAAAGCCAAGATTTACATACGTCTCCGGGCCAATATTGGTAATTTCAATTGGCTCTATATTGCATAAAGTTCTTGATATGATATTGATTTTTTCTTTTTGGGCCAACATTTGGTTACGTTATTGTAGCAACGTTGGTATTTGTTTTTGGGTATATATTGACATACGTTCTTGGACAAATATAGCAGAATATCCACATCTTTTATTGGGCCAACATAGAGAATCTGACTTGGGCCAATAAATCGTAGTTATTGTCCCAATATTGGCCCAACATGGGAGTGCTACTTGGGATGTCCGAACCTGCCCCACTCTACGGAGTAAAGACGAAGGACCACACAAAAGGGAGACGCGCATCTGTAATGACGTCACAAGGGTATCACCGTTTGACAACAATAGGCAATCCTCCTTGCTTATAATCCTTGGTTTGTGTCCATTGTTCGTCGGCTGTCATTGTCATTGGTTGTTTTCCTCCGTCTCTCTACGTTATATCTTCTCTCTTGTGTAACAAAATTTCCCAAAACGTGACGTTACGTCTCGCGTGTTTCAAACCACTCTCCATTCTCATTTCTCGACTGTCCAAATATTAGACCGCCCCCTAAAAAGTTTCACTCCAAAATAAATCATAATACCCATCGAGTTTTATCGAAAATAAATGTCTCAAACAAATAGACCCATCAAGCTTTAATAACGAAAGAAAATAAACCTAAAGTATTTCTTCACAAATTAGTATTGTATAGGGCATAGGCCATAGTACTAGTAAATACTACTAGTAGTAGTGTATATCATCCTTGCAAGGTTGTTTGAATGAAGAGATATAGTATTTTGAATACCCATTTAGAATAACCCCATCCTTATTTATCAATCACGAATCCGTTGAACCAAAAAATTACCAAGAAAAACGAACGTCGATTGCTAACAAGGCTGATACACGCTACTACTAGAGGATCGCCTAGTCACTAGAACGACTGTTACTTCCAAATAGGTATTAAAAATTCTATAAGTTGCCTGATTACGTCATTTGTTTCTCATTACCAGACAACCTAACTTTAGGAACTTTTGTTGGATGTATTTTTTTAAAACATAACCTGAAAATCTTAAATCTAAATATTTTTGTATGAAAATATAGAACATTCTTGCAAAATTGTGCAATTATTTAAACGTAGTCTTGGCTTGAAAAGGAAAAATTGTAAAAATACATTTAAATTAAAAATTCTTTCCTATCCCTTATTTCTTGGTTGGCTTCCAATAACAAATTTAATGAGGAACATCATAAAGAACACTTCCAACATACTTTTTTGAATTAATTTTGACCAAAAACCAAATAATTTTGAATAAATTAGGGGGAGACAACTTACAACGACTTGCCTCGACGCCATTACCGTTGTTGATTCATAATTCATAAAAGCGTTTCCGATTAGTAAAATAATTAGCAAAGAAAATATCTCTTTCTTTAACAGGATGAAAGAGAGAGAGAGAGACGAAAATACACTCAGTGCGCAATAAATCTCCCAATCGAGAACGCCATATCGCAAATTCGTTATTTCCATAGCCTACTAGATGTTTGAAACAATAATCTAATCTAGAATTAATAGTTTTATCCACTATTAACAAATGCGTTAACTGCAAAGTGGCGCTTTTCGACCCCCAAAAACTTTCTATAAGGTTTAATAATAGGTATTCGCAATTAAAAAAATATGATGGGCTCCCAAAGTCCAGACAGCACACAGTCTTAAAATACGTCTTTTTGAACGTCTGAAGACCAAAAAAAGACGTCATAAGATGTCGTAATGAATAATAGTTTATGTATCAAAAATAGATTTGTCGATATTAATATGTCTTCAAGACGCCTTGAATGTCGTTTATGGAGACGTCTAGATATGTCTCTGTACTGTCTGAGAGGTAGGTACTCGAGGCATCAAAGACGTTGTGTGTTACAAAACCCAAAGTCTTTTAGACGTCTGGATGAGTTGAAAACCTGTTGAAACTGGCAATAAAATTTAATACATAGCGTTTCATAATTTACAACAAAAAAAATTAAGGAGACCCCTCATGTTCGAAAAACGTCTGCCTAAAGACGTCTTCAGAGCTGATATTTCATTTTATAATTTTCAATTTTTGTCTATTTTAGGCGCTCTCTGAAATAATTTTGAGGTTTTTAAATTCTTCTGAAGCATGTTAAAATGCTGCTGGAAAATGTTTTGGAACGTTTTGAGAAATTTTTAGGTATTTTGGATCCCTATTGAAGCTTCAAAGTGTTCTAAATTAATTGGTTCAAAAGAGTTCTAAAAGGTTTCCAGTTCTAATAATTGAGTCCTTGATTGCTCTGAAATAACTTTGAAGTTTCTAAATGGTTCCAAAATGCTGATTTGGATGCTTTTTAAGGTTTAAAGTTCTACAGCAATTTAAATTCGCTCTTTGAACGCCTTCTGAAAGGCGCTTTGTATACAGCTTTTAACCTGAATCCTAAGATTCTAGCGCTTTTCAAAATATTTCTGGGGATGAGTATTTTGGAGCGTACTAAAATGGGTTTCAAACTTCTGAACTATTGTTCTAAAATGAGAAACAAATTTGTGGGAAATTTTTGTAGACATCCTAAAGATGTCCACAAATGACATTCAAGACGACTTGCTCAAGTCTTTTAGGTGTCTTAAAGACATCTTGAAGTCTTTCAGACGTCTCTCTCTGCGTCTACCTAAAGTCGTCTTTAGGAATAAGATATTTTAAAGACGTCTTCAACGAGATTTCTTACAGTCGTCTTTGAATTTCCTTTCAATACATGAACCATTATTCACTTTTAGGCCTGGTTGTACCAAATAGTTGTCTTTAAGATGTGAATTTACGAAATTGTCAACTAGCTACTTAGGAAAGGAGGTCCCGGTATTCAACTTTACAGACTTGAACAACTAGTGTTAGTACCGCCACCCTGAAAACACCCCTCAGAGTCAAGTCTCCCCAGTGCAGGTACCGCCACCCTGGGAAAGCCTTTCTGAGAAACTGTATCGTCATCTAGAGCAAGTACCGCCACCCTGAGAAAGCCCCTCTAGATGAGGATCAGTTAAACATCGATTAGCATTCAACGTAATATTAGTATTAAAACCGACATTCCTAAGTAGCGTCAAACGTGTGGCCCTATCCACGCATTCTGGAGGATTTATGTAAGAACTTCATAGCAAATATACATATTTTTTCAATAACCTGAGCGAGTTCCTCTTGATCCATCTACCCTACACACTCCCGTCACAGAGAGGTTGTGACAAGATCTTATATGGACATTTTAAAAACAACGTCTTTTAGACGTCTTTTTTTTGTCTTCAGGCGTAATGCAGACCTAGAAAGTACGTCTTTAAGATTTTCGAATTATTTTTGCAAATAAATTCTTATATTATTATTATTGAATATTCTCGGTGCGTTCCTCGTATATACGAATTCCGCGACAAAAGCAATTAAAGACCTGAAATTAACGATCTTTAAAGATTCCTTTAAAGCAAATGACCGTTTGGTACGGTACCTGAACCTATTTAGTTTTTTCTTTGATGGAAAAGGCAAACAATACCACATCAGATAAATAATTGTTCTTTTTTAAATTGATGCTACTCATGGTACCTAAAATATATGCTTATTATAAAATCAAACAATAGAAATTTATTCTTGGAAGATATTGATAAACTAAACAAACTTTTGGCACACAAATTCCGCATGATAAGGCTTGTAGTACCAACAAAAATCACGAATAGTGGTCAGAGAACCAACTACATTGTATGTTTGAATTATAAATTTGTTTAAAGTTTAAAGCGATAAGCAGCAACGATTTTGATAATGAATAAAGGCTTCCTGCTAAAGCGCAACATCGGCTAATAAAGAAAAGACTTGAGCAATTTAAGGCCAGCAGTACTGCTTGGTACTTCGCGTGTGCGGTTTTATTAAAATAATTTTATCAGACGTTTTGTTATTTTAATGTAAATGATAATTTGTTCTTATTGGTTGATACAAATAGTAAAATTTTAGGAGTTACAATGCAATTATTATTATTAAATTTAACGATTGCTGCTAGCCTTATAGGTTTAATGAGTACTACTCCTACCTCAAAGCCACCCTTGTCAGAGAACAATTGTGGCTACAAGGCAAGTACCAAAAATTAATATAATATATAGTAACTTTATTAAAATTAAATCTTCCCATGTATAGTCTTGCCATCCTATTAAAAAAGGTTTCATCAATGTCCATATCGTACCTCACACCCACGACGATGTCGGATGGTTAAAAACCGTAGATCAATATTACTATGGAAGTAACAGCAAGTATCAAAATGCCGGAGTACAATACATCCTGGATACTGTCGTGGACTCTTTAAGAAAAGACAAAAACAGAAGGTTTATATACGTCGAAACGGCATTTTTCTGGAAATGGTGGATCAAGCAACACGACATAGTCAAATCCAGAGTCCGCAAGCTCGTCTACAACGGCCAATTGGAATTTATTAGCGGCGGCTGGAGTATGAACGACGAAGCCGTAACTCATTATCATTCCATAATCGATCAAATGACTTGGGGCTTGAGGTAATAATTGACCATTGGTGTATTTTGTTTAAAAATAATCTTGTAGGAAATTGAATGAGACCTTTGGCGAGTGCGGCAGACCGAAAATCGGCTGGCAAATCGATCCTTTTGGGCATAGTAGGGAAATGGCCAGTATTTTTGCCCAGCTGGGTTTTGATGGGGTGCTATTGGGGAGAATCGATCATCAGGAGAAACGGTTTAGGTGGCAAACTAGGACACCTGAAATGGTGTGGCGTGGGAGTGACAGCTTAGGTAAAATATCTTCATTCACAGTTTTCATGATTTGAGTCTTCAGAGCTTAGTGTTTTCAGAAAGTCAAAAGCGTTCAAAATCTTGTCTTCCAAGATTGAATTGACTTTCTAGAATTTACGATTCATGGTTTTTAATATTGAGTTTCCAGAGACTTAAATATCAGGAGTCTCAGTTTTGAGCCATAAATTTTAAGTAAACGAGGCTTCAGAATCTTTGACTATTTAGGGTGGGTATTATAAAACTGCTCTGACAGTTAACTTAAAGTTAACTATTTGAATTACATGTAATTCCAGAAGTTAACTTTAAGTTAACTGTCAAAGTAGTTTTATAATACCCACCCTAAGTCTTGCAGCAAAATCTTGTATCAGAGTCTCTATAGAATCTTGATTCAAATGGTCGTTGGAGGGTCTCAAGCGCCGGTAATAAAGCTCAAACGTCGAGTCTATTCTAAAGTAAATGTCAGACAGTATTGAGTATTGAGCCAAAAAGTGCTTTAGAATCTTGAGCAATGAGTCATTTTTAAAATCGTCTGAGTTTTCAATTTTGAGTCTCAAGTTTCCAGGAGCTTTCTAATAATCTTAACAATACAGATTTGAGTCAAGATTCCTACAGACACTGGAAGACCCAAGAGTTTGTATTTTGGACAGTTCAATTTATTCGTGCATGAATTAAACTGGAGCAGTATAAGACATTGAGTTCTAGAGTTATAAACAACCTAGAACAGCTAGAAATCATTTTCGACTCTTGCAAATCGCAAAGCTAAAACTGAACTGGAGCGGCGTGAGAATCGTATTCCCGGCTTTCATAGAGCTAAAAGTTGAGCTACAGAAGAATGAAAATCCTATTGCTGGCTCTATACTAGAGCTGAAATTCAACTAGAGTGGCATGAAACTCTATTTTGGATTGTTACTGATTCTTTGATTTGCTGGACATCTTCTAAAGACAAAATCTACCAGTTATGATTTCAAATATTGATCATTACCGGCTCTTGATTGTCTCTAAAAAACTTGTGTAGCAAATGAAGAGCCTGTCCTGTAATAATTTAAATTTTGATTGTTACTAGTTTCTTGATTTGCTGAATTATTTTGCCAAGACCAATCAAAAGACCCAAGACAGTTTAAATATTGATTATTACTGGTTCTTTGATTTGCTGGATATTTTTTAAATTGAAAATCTACCAGTTATGAGCTCAAATTTTGATCATTACCGGTTTTTGATTGGCTCTGAAAGAGTTGTTCAGCATATAAAGAGCCTAATATAATAATTCAAAATTCAAACTTTGATTGTTACTGGTTTTTTGATTTGCTGGATTATTTTTCCAAGACCAATCAAAGACCAAAAACAGTCATTATCAGAAACCAAAAACAGTCACGGACCTTGATTATCTGTAAAAAAAGTTAGAACAACTCTAAATTCTGAAAACTTTTACCTCAAAATTTCTTGCTACAAGATTCTTAAATGATCAAGACTCAAGATTTGGAGTTTTTTTTTGACTCAAAGTTCTTAGTCATGAGAATGCTGACACTTTGATACGGTAAGGGCTGAGATTCACACTGTATTAAAACTGAAGATTATAAACCAGAGACGATTTTCGTACTGAAAACTCTGAAAAGTAGCAGCACAGAATTTTGTAGTGACTGATAATTGAAGATAATGCTCTACAATTCTCTAAACCTTTGATTCAAAATTACAGTAAAATGATTTTTTCTTGTAGGAGAGGTAAGTGACATATTCACAGGCGTAATGTACAACACCTACGCGCCGCCTCCTGGATTTTGCTTCGATATTTTATGCGGAGACGAGCCAATTATAGATGACAAAAAAAGCTTTGAATATAACGTCAACAGAAGGGTAATTATAATATATGCATCTCTTTACCAAGCAAAATTATCTATCATATAATTATCTAGGTTGATGAATTTGTTGCTTATCTAGACAACGTTACACAAGTTTATTCCACAAACAACGTCATCATTACCATGGGCGAAGACTTCAACTACCAAGACGCTGAAGCCTGGTTCATCAATCTGGACAAACTAATTTAGTAAGTTGAAAGTTTGCTATTGACTTGGCATTAAAACAATTATTTCAGCTATGTGAATGAACGTCAATTAACTGGCTCAAAATACAATCTAATTTACTCAACACCGTCCTGTTACGTTAACGCCATCCACAATGAGACTAAAAACAACTGGATTCTGAAGCAGGACGACTTTTTCCCTTACGCTTCCGATCCTCACGCTTTCTGGACAGGATACTTTACATCCAGGCCTGCCTTAAAACGATTTGAACGACTGGGAAACAATTTTTTGCAAGTAATAAATGTCCACAATTCAATTTCTTGTTGCACCAAAAGTTGTTTGTAGGTTTGCAAGCAGCTCTACGCCTTAGCTGATCTTGGTCCAGAGGATATGGTGGACTTGAATGCATTGAGGGAAGCCATGGGAGTGATGCAGCATCACGATGCGATAACAGGAACTGAAAAACAGCATGTGGCTAATGATTATGCCAGGCAATTGCAACGAGGCATGGATGAATGTGAGATAATTACCAATGCAGCAATAAGCAAACTGCTTGAGGTTAATATTGAACTTAAGACGTGTCCTCTGTTAAATGTTAGCCAATGCACAACAACAACTACAAACGATGGATTTGTTGTAACCATTTATAATCCGCTTAGTAGGCCTGTGGACAAAGTGGTCCGATTACCTGTCAAAGAAGACTCGTATTCGGTCAATGATTTGCAAGGGACTGAATACAAAACCCAAGTAATTCCAATTCCTGATTTTATCAAAAACATACCTGGAAGAAGTAGTCAAGCAAAAAACGAGCTGATTTTTATTGCACGGGGCATTCCAGCATTAGGCTGGAAATCTTATAGAGTAATGGTTTATGGGAAAACTAATAAGAACATTATTGCATCTATAAAAGGCAATAAACACAGTGTCAAGGTAAAACAACTATGAAATATTTTCTGTGAATAACTTATTATTATTTCAGGACACTGCCTTTATTATGGACCCAAATACGGGCCTTATAAGTAGCCTCACAATCAAAAACGTATCAATAGACCTTAGCCAAAACTTCTTCTATTACAATGGCTTTGTTGGTGACAACAGTAAATTCGAAAATCGTTCTTCTGGGGCCTACATCTTCAGGCCTGATGGCCCTCTACAAAAAATAACAAATAAAAAAGTGGACTATAAAGTATACGAAGGAGAACTTGTAGCAGAAATCCATCAAACTTTCAACGAATACATAAGTCAAATTATTAGAGTTAACGCCATAGATGATTACGTGGAATTCGATTGGATAATTGGACCTTTGCCCCACAGCAACAAAAATGGCGTTGAAGTGGTGACAAAATACCAATCAGACCTCAAGTCCAACCAAGTTTTCTACACGGACTCTAATGGCAAACAAATGCTCAAACGAATCAGGAATTTCCGACCTTCCTGGAAAGTGAACTTATCTGAACCAGTGGCAGGAAATTACTACCCAGTGACAACACAAATTTCCATCAAAGACACTGAAAACGAATTGGCCGTTTTGGTTGACAGAGCCCAAGGAGGCACTAGCCTTAAGGATGGGGAAATTGAACTGATGGTTCATAGAAATTGCCTGCACGATGACGCTTTTGGTGTTGGAGAGGCTTTGAACGAGACCGCTTTCGGACTTGGATTGGTTGTAAGAGGTTCTCATTACGTTACTGTGGGTAATAATGGAATGGCAGCATTAACAAAAGATATTGTTCAAAGAAGGTTACTGGATACTTGGACTTTTGTTGTGCCTGTTGACGAAAAAGTCAAGTATAATATGGAGGTAGATTTGAGTCCTTTTCCAAATTTGTGTGATACATAGGTTTTATTAAAGTTTGCAGGTCTCAAGCGCCCACTTCCAAAAAGCGTCCAAATCTTGACATTAGAACCATGGACCGGTTTTGACTTTCTACTAAGGCTTGAGCATGTTTTTGAGAAAAGCGACCAACCTCAACCTGTAGTGGTACCTTTAGCTGTTAGTAATTGTCATCAAACTATTAGGCAAATTTTTATAAGATAACATTTTAGGACCTTTTTACATCGTTTGAAATAATCTCAGCCCAAGAAACCACTTTGGGAGGCAACCAATGGCTCAAAGACAGCCACAGGTTGCATTTCAATACAAATGGCACCGTAGAAGATTTATTGTACCAAGACTACAATATAGTGACAGACTATGAGACTGAGACACACTTGCTTCGAAACAGCATCAAAAGACACACAGTGATAAATGCATTTGATGATGATTCATTGAATGTCAGCCTATTACCAGGACAGATTCGCACTTTTATTATTCAGATTAAAAAATATTAGATTTATTTGAATAAAACTTATATTTAACATTTAATACAATCGTTTTTCATATGAGAATAAACTGTGAACGCTTCCTTCTTGTTGGGCTGAATGAGATCTCAATTCAAAACGTAGTTGTTCCAAGCTCATCATTTTACTGTAAATAAGTCAGTCTTAAGTAACTATAAAATAAAAACACTATTAGTTACCTGAGTTGTTTCAAAGATCTAGCTCCAATATCCTGACACCCGTGCTTAATCCCAGTTATTAGATAAGGGACGTAAGTGAGAACTGATCCTTTGTCCACTATACTTCCGCTGACACCTTGGGCTACTTTCAGTTGGTCGCCTTCGGTGTGGAAATACCTGCTCATAGCAGAGCCGACCGCATCTTTTCTGGACATGGCTTCAATACTGCCCATTCCTCTGTACTTTTTCAGGCGGACACCGTCTACGTAAAAGTATTCGCCTGGCGCTTCTGAGGTACCCGCCAACATTGAACCCATCATAACTGTAAGAAGCATTAGTGTTTTTGAAAATGTATTGGGGAAAAGGAGCACTAAGTTGAGAAAATCGGAAAAGTAACACAAAACTGAAAAAGTTGAGAAAATAAAAAATACAAGCTGAGAGAATTTAAGAAGAAGAAGCAAAAGGTGGAACAATTTAATGAGGGGGAATTTTGTAAAAATGCTTCTCCACTAAAATCAACCTCTTATTCTTTAGGGTTGCCAGATTTACAAGAAGGAAAAGCGTGGAAACGTCGGGTGGGGGAATTAATAATTTTTTTATTAGTTCTATTCCATGCACAAGGAATTTGGTCACCTTCAGTGGGGGGTTAATCTTTTATTTCCGTAAAGGGCCCCATACACTACAATGAAACACTTCGTTCCAAAACCGAAGTGTGTGGTCATGGGCCCCATACACTACCTTCTTTCTCAAAGAAATATGACTTGAAACGATCGGTTGAAAAATAGCGGAGCTGTAAACGAAAAAGTGGCCTCGTGTCGGGTACCCACAATTTTTTTCTGGTCAAAATTGACATTTCCCATTTTTTTTTTTTTTTTGGCCTTAAGATGTGCCGAAGCGAGGAGGGTGAAATTAAGTTTTCGACGTATTTTTTGCTCCTCTATCCGATAGAATTTTTTTTTTTTTAAATTCAAAATTTGAATTTTTTCGACAACAAAATTCAATTTTTTTTTTAATTTTCAAAGCATTCTAACTCGAAAAAAAAAAGCTCGAGAGAAAAACTTCAAGTGCAAAACTTATAGATCTCGTCGAGTACTACAAAAAAGCTTATTAGAAGTATCCCGCCACGGGATACCGTTTTCGAGAAAATCGACCTGGAAAATTTTAACAAAATTACAAAGAATTTCAACTTTGACAGCTGATATCTCGAAGACGAAAATGGCCTGATATCTCAATAAAAAAAAAAATTTATAGGTAATTTCATTCTCTTTCGAAAGAGATAGATATGACTCGAAACGATCGGTTGAGAAATAGCGGAGCTATAAGCGAAAAAGTAACGTCGTGCCGGATCACCGAAATTTTTATCTGGTCAAAATCGAAATATCCTTTTTTAATAATTTTTTCCCAGCCTAAAGATGCGTCATAGCAAGCAGGGACCCATAAGCTTTTCAACGTTTTTTTTTTTGCTCCTCTATCCGATGGTATTTTTTTTTGGAAATTCGGAAAAAAAAATGAAAGTTAAGAAAGATGGGGAGGCTAATGGAGGAGCTTCATGGTGCATACAACACCCTTTGGGCGTTGCCACGCCGTTACAAAACCGAAGTAGAAAACCGTCGTGTTTTTCTACCACACACTTCGGTTTTGGAACAATGTGTTTCATCGCGGCAATGAAAACCGACAAGAAAGAACGTAGTGTATGGGGCCCTTTATGTGTTGAAATACATGGATTCAAAATATCTAAAAGTGGCGATATCTCGAAAAACGGCAAACAAACTACTTTTCAGGGTAAATATGGTCAAACAGCTTCCAAATAACCCCAGCTATCACTCATTGAAATATTCCTATCGATGTACCAAATACCCTGTATATTAAAGTCTGAGGCAAGTCTATTTTTAACTAATAAATAATTTATTTAGGAAGCGTTTACATGAAATTATGAAAAAGCGTGTCACGCACCTACTCAGGCGTGATGTGTGACAACCATTCAAAAATCGTGACAATCACGCTTAATATGTGAAATCTGGCAACCCTACTCCTCTTTCCATTGGTAGATTCAAAAAATAGAAAAACTTAAAACATAATTTACAATATGATCTCATAGTGGTACTAGATCCACTAGTATTCTTATGGATAGAAGAGTTAGTAGAAATTTGAAGGAAATAGAGTGATTTTAAATAAGAAATTAGGAAAATCTTCAGAGGAATTAATGTACAAAAATTTCTGGAGAAGTCTTTATGATATATCCCTATCAAAATCTCATTTTTTTTGGATCTCAGATTGTCTTTCATCTCCATATTCGGAAGACAAATAGAGAAAACTTGTAGAGTGTTTTCATTTTGAAAAAGCTTAAAAACCCCTCTTTGCTTGTACCCCAAATATGTAGGTGATCCAAAAAAAAAAATCAAAAGAAGCATTTTATAACAATTTTCTTGTGATTTTGAAGGTTTTTCAGCTTGTATAAATCACCAACAAACATACCAGTTGATGCTCCAAGAGCCAAAGCCTTGATAATAGCCCCCGTAGAAGAAATTCCTCCATCAGCAATAACAGGCACTCCAAATCTTTTGGCATATTCAGATACTTTGTAGACGGCTGTAGCCTGTGGTCGCCCTACAGCCATCACTTCTTGTGTGATGCATATGCTGCCACTACCCATGCCCACTCTCAGACCATCTGCTCCTGCTTGTATGAGGTTTTTCGCTTGTTCTCTTGTTACAACTAGAAAAATGTTTTTAGTACTGTTGCTTAATAATTGCTGTGCCTGCTTACCATTGCCTGCAATAACTTCAATATCTGGATAAGTAGTTTTGATGTATTTAATCATGTCGACTTGATAAGTTGAATTTCCTTGAGAAGAGTCTAGGACTATGACGTCAACACCTGCTTGAACCAATAGAGCTAGTCTTTCTTTGTCGTGTTCTCTTGTTCCAATTGCTGCACCAACTATTAATTGTCTATAAAACAAAATTCAATATTTTATCAACAATTATTAAGTTTTCACTTACTTATTCTGATCCTTTGAAGCTGTGGGATAGCTTTTAGCTTTTTTCAAGTCAGTCCTAGCAATGAGGGCAATTAAACTACCATCAGGACAAACAATAGGCAACTTGCCCTTCTTGCTTTTCTCCAAAATGGTATTGGCCTCCTTCAAAGTCACATCCGAGCCAGCAGTCACTAAATCCTCCAACTTAGTCATAACTTTCTCCAAAGTTGTAGCTTTGTGATTGTTGGTGTCCAAAAAGTCAATGTCTCTGGAAGTGACCATGCCTACAAGCTTGCCACCCAGCAGTCCGTTTTCTGTGATGGGTATTCCGCAGAAATTGTGTTTGGCTTTGATTTCCAGAACGTCCAGGACGGTGTTTGTGGGGCCTAGTACTATTGGGTCTCTGATGAAACCGTGCTTGTACTTTTTGGCTTTTTGCACTTCGTCGGCTTGGTATTCTGGGGAACAGTTGTGGTGGATTATGCCTATACCACCACAGAGCTAGAATAATTAAATAAGTATACAAAATTTGAAGTGTCAATGGAATTTGAGAGGTTTTTTTGGATTCAAGGCACTACAGGATGAGAAGAATGGGTAGAGCATGTGGAAAATGTAGTCTGCAATGTAGCAAGCAATTTGAAGTTTTTTTTTTTAGTTTCAAGGCACATAAGGAGGTTTTTATACTAAATCTATAGAATAACTAGAATGTCTAGAGTAAAGTGACCATCCGTCCCGATTTAGGCGGGACAGTCCCGATTTCGAGCTATGAGTCCCGATTTGATAAGCGTCCTGCTTTTGTCTCGCTTTCAATAAATTCCAACCATCAACTTTTCATTATTTATATTTTAAAAACTTTTACGGTTATTGTATAAAATATTTAAACCAGTACAGCACTCACTATGAGTGCATATTGGATTTTGTTTGGATTTCTTTAAAAAAAGCTCGTATTTGGGAACAAGTACAAAAAAGTTTTGAGTTTCTCTTCCCGAAATGAACCGTAATTAAAAATGATTTATTTTATGAGACAATATATAGCTTTGTTGCAATACAGCAGGAAACTGTACAATGCACCATGATTCTGCGCAAGGCCTAAAATTTGTGTGTAGAATCTGAAATTCGTATATAGAGTGGTTTCCAAACCGTTCATGGGACGGTTTTTGACGTGTTGGAACAGACCTTATATGTATTTCTGGAAGTAGGCTTATTTTTTGGACTGAGCAAAAAACTCCCAAAGATCTTAGTTGAATGGGTAGAAATTTTTAATTATTTCGATGAAAACAGCCCCATATAGTTTCCTATAAACATATATCCGAAAACGTTTCCTTTCCAAGAAACAGTGTGTTGAAATTCTAAGAATAAAACAATTGTTTTTTCATAATTTTCAAACCACTCTAGATATTTCATCGAAATTCTGTACACTGGCTTTCAAGCAGTAAAAGGCATTTTTTGATGTGAATTTTTTTTTTTATTACCAGACACATCTGTATCGGATTTGTATGGAATATTTTCTAAGAAAGAAATAGTGCGTCACTGCGCCTAAAATAAAAATAATTTTTGAAATCCCCATTCATTTTAGAACAAATTTGATCTCTTCACTTTTTTCCGAAAGATGCAACGTTTTCAAGTAAATAAATAAAAAACCATTTCGATGCATGTCAGAGTCGCCAAAATTATGATAAAAATGTTAAACATTAAACACCTAAAGTTTCAAATTATTTTTATGACGTCACTGGTAACTTTTTTTTAAATATTTCACATTAAAAAATGTCTTTTGCTGCTTGAAAGTAGTGGACAAAATTTCACTGAGATATCTAGAGTGGTTTGAAAATTATGTTTAAAAAATTGTTTTTTTCTTAGAATTTCAACACCTTGTATCTCGGAAAGGAAGCGTTTCCGGACATATGTTTATACAGAAAACTAGGGCTTATTTTCAACGTACAATATGCCATAAAAAATTTGGTGCATTAATTTCGGAACACCCTGTATTGTCCCGCTTTTGGAATTTTGAGATCAGGTCACTTTAGTCTAGAGCATGTGGAAAATTTAGTCTACCTACACTACAATTAGTTCCCAGTACATCGACCCTAAAATTTTGTAACTCATGTACACGCCAAACTTCCTGAGCGGCTTCATAGCACCAAGTCGGACAATTTTGTTCATATCTCCAACTCGGGCGATGGGACATTGTCGCGCTAGCTCTTCGGGAAGTTGTCATTCTGACATCCCTGAGAACGGTGATACGTGTATATGTAATTTTAATTCTAATCGACTGTTTCTATGTTATATTAACGATATCACATTTGTCGGACAAAAATCTTGTGGCATTGGGAGGGTTGGACACCTCCAACAGCAACATGTTAGGGTCGTCGGACCCCTCCAATGCCACGAGATTTTTGTTCGACAAATGTGGTATCATTAATATAACATAAAAAACAGTCGAATGGAATTAAAATTACATGTACATGTATTACCATTCTCAGGGACGTCAGGATGACAACTTCACAAAGAGTTAGCACGACAATGTCCCATCGCCCAGGTTAAAAATATGAACAAAATTGTCCGACTTGGTGTTATGGAGTCGCTCAGGGAGTTTGGCGTGTACATGAGTTACAAAATTTTAGGGTCGATATACTGGAGACTAAAATGTAGTAAGTATGAAATGATGAAACTTACAGTACAAACTCAGAGATTTGGTTTTAATCTTGAAATTTCTCAAAACTTGAAAGGAATTATTGTGAAGGTTTTTTGGGTTTCAAAGGCACTTGAGTGTGTCTTACATACTAAATCTACAGGATGAGTATAATCTGTAGGGCATATAAAAAAATATAGTCCTTCATATACCAAGCATGAAACTTGCACTACAAACCTAAACATTTGGTTTTAATGTGTATTGTACAAAATCTACAGGATGAGGAGTAGAAAATGTAGTTCTTGATGTAACAGGCATAAAATTTAAAGTACAATTATTTGGATTAATTTGATAAAACTTTTTTCCTTGAACATCTCAGGAATGTCACAAGATTTTCCTGGAATATTTTGGATATTTCAAATATTTATTCTTGGAAAAAATTGAGCCTTATTAACATGGGTATACTTACTGATAGTGCTATGGCCATATCTGATTCTGTAACTGTATCCATGGGAGAGGATACCAAAGGTGTGTTTAGCCATATTTTTTTAGTCAGTTGGCAGTTTAGGTCCTAAAAGGAAACAATTTTTAATGAAAACAAACCAGAACTTATATTTGTATTTAAAATTGGATTAGCAAAGTCTCAAAAGCTAAAAATGACCTCAATAGCTGAAAAAGCTTCTGAAGCACACTACAAATGCAATTTCTAGCTTCTTTGAGTCATCTCAATGAGATTTTTTCAGCTTTTTGGTATAGTAAAAAGCTTTAAAAAAAGCTTAGGAAACTATGTCAGTTGAAATCCCTTTAGTTCTGGAATTTTTGCCCCCAATTCAAGCTAAAATTCCTTGTACTCATACACAAAACAATTTATTAATACATTGACACACACTTACCACTTCTTTGGGTGTAAAGTCAATGAATCCAGGCAGAATAATAAAGTCACTAAAAATAAATCAAACAATGAATAATTGCTTTCAAAATTGAAAAACTGCCTTACTTGTAAGTCAATCCGTTGCCAGATTCGATCATGTACTTTGCGGACATGCCATCTCTCAAATCCTCATCAGAATCCTTTCCCGAAAGTCCATTTAACATAGCCATTGAATAAAGACACGTGGTAAAATATTTGTAGCTGTAAAAACGACGAAACGCACTGCTGCTCTTTAAACAAACAATGTGTTTATATTAAAAGATAATAAATTGCACAAGGGATTTAGTATTACAAAACGCTGTTTTCTTCTTTCTAAAATCTGTGTATCTACGCTTAAATATTTTTATGTTGATGCCGGACACAATATTGATTGGACGAAACAGAAAAGGTTGGGTAAAATTTATAAACTCACTGAGCAGGCTCGAAGAAATCTACCTGGGGCTACTAAAAATACGCTCCGTTTCTACTTTTAGCTTTGCGTTCGATATTGTGATCGTTCCTTGTATTAAATTAGTATCTGTTTAATTGCGTTGAAGGAATTTTATCGCATTACCTCCCATGGACTTTAGCTACAGAGTGGACTACAAAAATTTGACTGGGTAGCTTTTTATTATGTTAAAGGCAGCTAAATAAGTGTTTTATAAATTTATCATAAATAACTTTGCCAATGGAGACACATCCTGTAAATAAAAGTTTATTGTTTTTATATAATTATTACACATTGGAATATAATAATAATAAAGTATTTCAAAATATGTTTTCCAAAAAGCAGTATTTCTAAATAATTTAAGTATATGTTTTTTTAATGAATTATTGTATTATTGTTTAAACACAGATTATTCTTTGTCTGCACAAATAATTTAAACATTTTTTGTTCGAATAAATATTATTGTTCTTATTTTTTGATAAGGTGGTTATTGCAAACATATTTATGTTCTGATAATAATTCTAAAAACAGTTATTAGTACTTGTGAATAAAGAACATTTCTTAGATAATAATTATGCACTAAATAAAATTGTTACACGTTTGATTTTCGAGTAAACAATTCTTTACAAAACAACAATTATTATTTGCTAAACAAAGAAAATATTCACAGCAATTTTCTCCAAGTTTGGAATTTGCTGGAAACAAGATTATACAAGCTCTGGAAGTTTGACTGAACATGGATCAAACAACCAAAATCTTATAAAAGATTAAAAGATCTCAGGAGAGTAGATTTGGATATTGGGAAAAGTTAATGAAGATCCCAGAACCATTTAAGAAAATGTTTAATCCAACAAGGCTGATCAGAAATTGAACACTTATTATCTATTCACCATTCGATGTCCAAAGGTAAAGGTAAATTTTATCACCTTTTAGTGCTATTTAATACGGAAAGGTGATAAATTTACCTTTACCTATGGACTACGGATTCGGATTGTGAATAAGGATATAGGCTAACAGGCAAGTAATAATAAATAGAGGGGGTAACTGGAAAGTGTTGCGAATTATTGATATTTTGGCTAGTCATTTCATTTGTGAATAGTATGTGGAGTAAAATTGAAGTTTTCGACCTCAAGTACCCGGTGCTAACTTGGGGGGAAGTCGAAAGACCTAGAAATTTTCGAACTTTTTCAGTTTTGGCTCATAACTTCTAAACCATGCGTTTTAAGCGGAATAGACCTGTTTATAAAGTTGAAGAAAATTAAATTTCCTTCAAATTTAACTAGTCAAAAGTATTCTTTAATGCAATAGTAACCGATATACAGTGGTTCAAAGATACAACTTGTAAAAAAATTCTTCCTGTCTGAACATAATTCAAACCAAGCATGGGATAATGCAAAAATATGCAGAGGAGCAGAACCAACGGAAACACACAGAGGACAGTTCGGACTCAGCACCAGAAATGAAAGGGGAAGAATGTTAGCAAACTTCCTAGAAAGAGAAAGACTCTATCTGATGTACACTCTCTTCCAAAAGAAAGAGAAACGTAAATGGACATAGAATAGCCCAGATGAACAAACCAAAAATGAGACTGACTTTATAATCTCCCGCCATAAACACATAATCCAAGACGTAGATGTATTTAATCAATTCAACACCGGCAGTGATCACAGGATGGTAAGATGCAAACTGCTCATAAACACAAAAATGGAAAGAAAAAGAAAGATGAAACAAACGACGACGAGAGGAAGTAGAGAAAAGATAGCAGAAAGCAGAGCTGGGCAGTAATTGCCTTGAAAGTGTTTGAAAAAGTGCTTCAAGCACAAATAAAGTACTTCGACTACTTCGAGCACAGTGCTTGCAAGCACTTTTAAAATACAGTGCTCGGTAATTGGTAATCGAAGCCCTCTATAAAAAATGCTTGGTAATTGCATGGTAATTGATTTTCGCATTTCAAGCCATTTGAAGTGCTTGCAAACACTCAAAAGAGCTTGCAAGCACTAAAATGCAAGTCCTTGGTAACAACCCTAATAGCACAAAATATTCAGAGAATGTTCCAGCAAAGTCCTGCGAAAGTTTGAATGTCCTAGACATTGAAGGAATGTTCCTGGAATATCTTTTAAGGTACCTATGTTCACAGAATATTTTATCAGTATATTCTGTGAATGTTCTAGGAAAGTCAAGATTTTTTAGACATAAAATGAATGTTCAAGGAATATTTCTGCAGGACGTTCAGTCTTATGCACGGAGTTTGTAAAAAAAAAATGATAAATGTGTATTTTTGAAATTTTAATGATAAAAATAGCGCAAATTAAACTCAATACATTTTTGGTCCAATTTTATCAATTGCATAATTAGTAAAATCCACATCAGGAGTTATTCATAATTATTCATTTTGTACTCCTACCTATATTTTATATTCGAAAACACATAAAAACCGATAAAAACCATAGAAACGTCAACTAAATAGTAAGTTTCTATTTCCTTTTTTAAATATAGCGCCTTTTTGGCATATGAATATCGATCGTGTCACGTGATTTTTATATTTATAAATCTATCTGATCCACCATCACGAGACAGCCATTAGCTATTCCGCGGTTTTCTATGAACTAGACAAAGATAGACTGGTCATCCATGGATCAATCGGGGAATAAAAGAAAGCGCCCCGGCTGTTGACTGGATAAGCAGCCACGCCACATTGTTTTTCTGCTGAAGCAACGCTTTGGAAATGGAATCTTTTTATTAAGTTTGTGTAATGAATTCGTGCCGTAATTGTGTCTATAGTGATCATTAATAACTAATAACCAATTATTGATTTGTGTTCCACGTTCGACGACAAATTTAATGTTCTAGAATAATAACTCTTGGTGTACCTAGGTATTTGAGGTTATTGTTTACTTATCGCATATTTTTGTGTTTAGTTGGCCCCGGCCCAGAGCGCTAGTGCTTTTAATAGTTGGAAAATTTTGTGTTCAGTTAGCCGGAGTGCTTGTGCTTTATAGTAATATAGTACTCTAGAAATAATAAGCAATAATTTTTATTAATTTTTTCTGTAACAATTTCATAGTAGGTAACTTCTTTTTTGTAAAGAATTAATCTTTTGTTTCTTCTATTTCTTTGGATATGTTTAATAATGTAGTAAGACGGTCGAAATTTGATCGTGGCGCCATCTAATCCATTTTCTTTGCTTTTCCTAGCCATATTGATGAGACCTGATATAGGTCGAAACGCGTCTATGGATAGAAAAGCAAAGAAAATTAATCCAAAATTTTCCCATCAGTATAATAATATATATATTATATAATACCTGTGTATGATTTTGAATGTACCCAACCAAACATTCCTGGTATATCCCAAGTAAATCCAAAAAATATTCTCTGAATGTATGTAGAACATACGAAGATATTCGGTGAATGTTCAATAAAATGTTCACGGAACATTCAAAATGCTGACAAAGGCTTTTCCCTGAATGTTCCTGGAATGTCTTAGAACATTGGGAGACATTCATGGAATGTTCCTAATGTCCTAAATGTATGTTCTGCGAATGTACATGGAATGTTATGTGCTATTAGGGAACTTAAGGCAGCATAAGCTTTAATGTGATTGGTTGGTTGAAGGCCGTCTCAGCGTCGGCAATAAGGAAACATTTGTGTTGTGTGTTGTGTTGAGGTTTATTTGTTATAACTAAAGATAAAAACTTTAATAAACTGTGGTAGTATAATGTATAGTGTTAGTGAATAGTGTTGCATATTGCATATTGCCTTTGCCAGCGAGATGCGGGAATAACTCAACTATAAAGCTGGCTTCCCACGGCCCGTGATATCGCAAGCCGGGCCGCTTTTACACGCGCCAACACTCCATGGGAAGAGCGGCGCGGCGCGGATTGCGATATCACGGGCCGTGGGAAGCCAGCTTTATAGTTGAGTGATTCCCGCACCTCGCTGGCAAAGGCAATATGCAACACTATTCACTAACACTATATACATTATACTACCACAGTTTATTAAAGTTTTTATCTTTAGTTATAATAATGTTAATATTCGATGATACAGTGTAGGGTAGTGTATTTAGAGTGAAGAGACGAAGACCGAAGACTAGTATTAAATTAATAACAAAAAACTTTGGTTTGATCATTTCATTATAACTATCATCATATCAACATCAACCAAAAACGTTAAAACTTATTACATTTCAAATTGCTGTTTCCCCAGATCCCAATTCAGCAACATCTTTATTTTAAAAATAAATTGGAAGCAATTGGCAAAGTAGTGCTTGGTAAGGTTATTGGTAATTTATTTGGGAAAAAAGTGCTTGCAAGCACCTGCAAGTAATCAACAATGATTTCAAGCACTTTTTGAGTAATTGGTGCTTGGTAATTGAATTGTGCAATTACTTTCCTTGGTAATTGGTAATTGCAAGCACTAAGAATTTCCAAAGTGCTTGGTGCTTGATGCTGGCAATTCCTTTTCCTAAGGGCTTGGTGCTTGGTGCTCCAAGCACTTTTTTCGAGTGCTTTGCCCAGCTCTGGCAGAAAGAAGGGAAACATACAAACAAAGGCTGAAAGAAAACTTTTCCAACAATCCAGGAAAAACAGAAGAGTCATTAGATGATAACAATAGGAGAATAACAAAAATTATAACAGAAACAGCAGAACAGATAATAGGCCCCCAAGAGAAAACGCCGGACAAACAGTCGATTCAAACGAAACAGCTACTAGAGAAAAAAAGAAAACTGATAACCGAGGGTAAAAGAGACACTATTGAATACACAGAAACCAACAAAACAGCAAGAAAAATGGCGGAACAGGATATACTAAAACATCAAACGAAATAAAGTGCAATCCCTATTAGAACAGAACAAAGGACTAAATATATTTGAAAGACATAACACACCTAAGAAAGAGATAACAAAAATAAAAGATGCGAAAAACAACACAGTAGACAACAGATATATTAAAAGTTGTGGAATCTTTCTATAGAGATCTGTACGAATCTAAAATAGCAAACACAAGGACAAGAGAAGACAAAATACGAATAGTGAATGCAAACTCAGAAGAAATGCCCGATATAAATATGGAAGAACTGGAGAAAGGGTTATCCCAGATGAAAAAATGGCAAAGCGGCAGGAGAAGACAACATTCTGCCTGAAATGCTCAAGGAAAGCGATACTAAAACGAGACAAGAACTAGTGAAACTATTCAATAAGTGCCTAACAGAAGAACATATACCCAAAGATTGGGAAAATGTTGTAGTTGTTC